ATTTAGGCTGTCAAAATATCCTAATCATTCTTTTAACATTCTGGTAACATTTTCTGATCAGGACATTTGCAAGATTCTTGTTTGAATTTTCTTGTTCCATCTTAAATGGTCCTGCAATTACATTCTGGTGCCTGAGGTGTTATAATAAATGCTGCACCATTTAAGGTGGAACGGGAGAATTTGGACAAGACGCATGAATAAGAACCTGAATGTCAGCACCAGAAATTAACTGCTGCACCATTTAGGGCGGAAGGAGGAAATTCAAATGAGAAGCTGGCGTATAAGAAGCTGACTCGTTTTAATCCTTGTGGTATTTTTGCTAAAAAAAAATTAACCAATGAAAATATCCCACCTGGATTTTTATTAATGGAGCTACCCATAATTATGCATTACAGTAGGACATTTCGACAAGGATTCTTCCTCTTTTTACATCTTCCAGCCAGTGCTGTAGCACGACCAAATTCAAGCTGCCGCTTCAATGTAAAAAGGCGAAACGTGAAATATCCTATCTGGAGTTTTAGGTGTGGAGCCAGTGTTTGGTTTGTCCATTCTGGGGTACTGTAGCAACATGCATGGCAGCCTCAGTTGGAAGAGGACCCGCTCACATGTAGATTTGAAGAGCTTATTCTAAGCTAATAAAAACACAATGATTTGTAGTTACAGGTAATTATACACTAATAAAAACTTAGATTTGTATACATTCAATTTCTGCTAACAGATCCCCCTCAATCCTACACACGGCTTCTTTAAATATGTTATTTAGCACTTTATAACTGAGAGAAATGTTTAACGTTTATCAGAAAAGTGTGAAGTGATGAATAATACTGGAAGATCAAATATCAAGTAACATGGAAAAACAAGTACAAAGCAGGAAAAAACAAAGCTGTGAGAAGGTCAATGCCACCATGTCTGTTCAACATAAGAATTTCAGTTTCAGTGCTTGCTTCCTGTTGAATCAGACAACCTGAGAAATACTTTGGTAGATTCCTTACTGTAAGTAAACACAACCTCATATACAGCCTCAGTCAAGTTCAGGTGCTTTTGGACAATTCAAACTGCATTTGAGAAGAGGCCTAAGCTCTAACAGTCTGGTGTGGTTTTTGTACAGCTCACTGATTACTCTGGGACACTGTGTAGACTGGCTGCACAGTACCACACAGCAGAGCCATTCTCACTCACTCTGTCAGACTCCAGATCTATCTGAAGCTCTCCAGGTCTTTGAGACTTAAACTGGTCTTTGCTCGGTGGGTTCACTATGCCAGTAGTCAGAGAGGTGAATACCAGTGTGAACCCTGCTGCTGGAGTCCACTGGTACCAGTACAGATTTGGGCTAGCAATGCCAGTTACAGAGCAGGAGACCTTCAGAGGTGATCCAGGAGAAACAATCAGCTCCTCTGGTTTCTACTGGACCTGTATGCGCTGTGCACCTGCAATCATGAACATGAATTAGTGTAAATGTGCTGTTGGATCAGTTCTTAATAGTACCAGATTAATATCACTGGCTTACACAGGGTGGAGAACCATTGTAGTGTCAGAATACAGAGAATCAAACACAAATGTGTCATTGTAAGAAGTACAACATACAATAGCAGTGGCTTAATGGTTAAATAGGCTCTTATTTGGCTAAGGGGCGGGGCCGTCAAATGTCTTTTTTTTTACTCTGTATATGTGGTAAGTTGTGCATTTGGTATAAGAAGTTATCATTAACTTATAGCACAATGTAACAATGTTTTACTACAGTAAAACATTCAAAATTAAATATTATCCAAAAAAATGTAGTTCTTCAGAAAAAATACTCCTAGAATTACAGCATGTGATCTCTATCAATACATGGTCTTTGTTTGTAGATTCACATTCTTTTTTTAATGGTTTGAAAAGAAATGAATCATTAAAGCATACAGGTCTTTGTATTGTTATTGCAGGAAACACAGCTAATGTCTAGAACTGAACTTTGCAGATGTTTAAAAATAATCCTGCAATTTTTTTGAAAACTGACAGCAAGACTCCCAAAAAGAATAAAAGCAGTAATAAAACCAAAGGATGGACGCCTACATTTATATTATATTTCGTTGTTGATGTTTATTGTAAATATGTTATCTTGCGTTTTACACCTGAGAGAAATGTATTGTTCAAACGGGCACAAACTGGAAGAGCAGATAATGTTTATCAGAAAGAAATGATTAGCAATGGCGAGTCAAGTGATGAATAATACCGGAAAATCAATTGTCAAGTGATGTGAAAAACAAGCAGCAAGTAGGAAAAATTAGCTGTGAGAAGGCCAATGCCACCATCTCTGTTCAACATGAGCATTTCATTTTCAGTGCTTGCTTCCTGTTGAATCTGACAACCCAAGAACTGAGCCTAATATGGTTGATTCCTTACTGTCAGTAAACACGACCTCAGAGATCACACGTGGTCTTAGTCAAAGTCATGTGATCTCATGCAGTAATAATAAATGTATCCTGTCTATCTCAGAAGAGGCCTAGGCTCTAACAGTTGGGTGTGGTTTTTGTACAGCTCACTGATTACTCTGGAATACTGTGTAGACTGGCTGCACAGTACCACACAGCAGAGTCATTCTCACTCACTCCATCAGACTCCAGATCTATCTGAAGCTCTCCAGGTCTTTGTGACTTAAACTGGCCTTTTCTAGATGGATCCACTGACCTAGCAGTCACAGAGGTGAATACCAGTGTGAACCCTGCTGCTGGAGTCCACTGGTACCAGTAAAGATATGGATCATCTGTTCCGGTTACAAAGCAGGAGGCTTTCAGAGATGATCCAGGAGAAAGAATCAGCTCCTCTGGGTCTTGCTGGACCTGTATGAGCTGCGCACCTGTGATGATGTACATGAATTAGTTTGTATGTGCTTTTGAATCAGTTCTCAGTAGTATCATATTAATGATATTACTAGCTTACACATGATGTAGAGCCACTGTAGTGTCAGAAAGAAGAGGATCAAAGACAAATGCACCATTTTAGAACATACAACTTATAGTAGCAGGGTCTCAATGCTTAAATACGCTCTTGGCTATGGGGCGGGGCCCTGTGGTAGTTCAGCCTGGATGCTTCTTTAGTTGTGGCGCTGAAAACAAATGTTTATCTGCTTATCTAGCAAATACACTTGGTAGCAGAGGAGTCATTAACGCAAACATTGTGTAACAATCCTAAACTACAGTCAACTATTTAAATAAATTAGATAATAACAAAGATAATAATAATAACAAAATTTATTATTGTTTTACTATTTATTATTTAAAAAAATTTGAGCTTGTATGTTCACATTCTTCAGGTTCCATTAAACCAATTCAAATCCTCAACAAAGCACCAATGAGTCTACAAGTTCACATTCACCATGTTAACATCAGTAATAGCTTCACAAACTTTTAGAAGGGATAAAAATATACTATCACTTACTTGCCTATGTATAAGGAACAGACAAATGAATGGCCCTTGTAGTAATCAGCCAAATGATAGCAGACTAGCATTACTACCATATCTAAGACCCAAACTATCTTGCTTTCCAGCTTGCTTAACTAGGCTGTGCAGACATAAAAGGAATAGATTGCATGCTGATATGTCTTCCCTTGAGAGTGTAAAACGCAAGAAACACACAGAAACACAGGGGCAAGCAGGCATTTGACCCATTATTTTACACAATCTTCCTGAACTCTCTCACAAAGAGTTGAGGACGCAAAAATCTCCAGTCTTCCTAAACTGTGTGGAGCGCTGACTTACAGACACAAACAGACAGTCAAACTCAGCAGCAGAACCAATCAAAATCTCCATTTCAGCTGAGGGACACTTTCCCAAACAGCAAAGCCTTTGTGATTTCATGTGAGTTTATGATTTCATGCACAATAAAGTTTCAAAAACATTTGATATCACAGGTAAAATCGGACAAAAAATGCATCAAATTCAATTTTTTTTCAGATTGTTTTGGCTACCATGCATGTGCATATCTCCACAACAGGGGTGGGCAAAGTTGTGGATGTTCCTGCTCGCGGCTTTACCAAGGTCAAGACTTTCTCCGTAAATAGATGCCAAACTGAGCAGCGGGTTTAAAACATACACTGACACTGTTTATGAATAGATTCATTGGAACGTTATTATATTATAGCCATGACATATACTAGTGCTGAATGTTAGCTTTAGTTAATCATTCAGTGGCCCAGTTGTCCTTTGTCTGATTTGCTAATAACGTTAGCATTAGCTACCAAACTAGTTAACATTGTTTTGGTGAAATCCTTACAATTAATTCTAAAATAGCAATCAACACATTGACATACCATTCTAGTTCACATTTTGGTGCATTTGGAGGTCATGTACTGATGCTTGGTGGCTTTATCATCACATGGAGGAGTGAAGAATTAACTTCTGACAGACACAATTTGAGCTAAAAAAAACATACAGTAGTTACTCAGTGCATTTCTTTGTAGATGCTTTTGAGTTGGGTAGATCATTGGTTATGCGCTCCTAACCACGGTCCTGTAGTAGCACCCTACCCTGCACATTTTAATGCTTTCCTGATCAAACACTTCTACTTCAACTCAAGAATGACTCGTTAGCCTATATATTAATTTTTTTATTATACTTTACCTAGATCCACATATGTGTCAAAACAGCCATAATACATGACCACACACGACAGTTTTCCAAACTCTGCTTATCCTTTAGAATTGAACAGGCTGTTTTTGTTAGTATGCCTTTGAGACTGATATCTGTAAATGAGCTCTGTCCAGATTTGTGCCTCAAAAAGGAGTCCAGGCTGAAACACTCCTTATAACTTCATCCTGAATGCCATGGTCTGAATAGGTGGATGTTCGCTAATACACAAAAATGATTCAAAAAGTCTTGTTTTTATAGCTTAATATACAAATAGACCGTATGGATTGGGGAATAAATGCAATGTTTGGAAAGTTAAATAATGTTTACATACTACTTTAAACACTTTTATTTCAAATTACATTAAAAAAATACATAAACAGAGTGGATTTTATTCAGTATTTCTTCAGTTTTTTAAAGACTGAAATGTCAAACAGTTGTGAAGGTCACTACGTCTGATGTTTGGCAGAAAAAAAAATGCTTAAGTGTCAAGTAATGAATAATAGCACAAAGTCAAATGTCAGTAAACTTGGAAAAAACAAGTAGGAACAAATGCAAGCTGTGAGAAGGCCAATGCCATCATCTCTGCTCAAAATGAGAATTTCATTTTTAGTGCTTACTTGCTTCCTGTTGAATCAGACAACCTGAGAACTGAGCCTACTTTGACAGATTCCTGTCAGTAAAAACAACCTCATAGATCACATGTAGTCTCAATTAGTCATGTGATCTCAAACAGTAATGAAAACTGACTCCTAACTGTCTGATTAAGAAGAGGCCTAAGCTCTAACAGTCTGGTGTGGTTTTTGTACAGCTCACTGATTACTTTGGAATACAGTGTAGACTGGCTGCACAGTACCACACAGCAGAGTCATTCTCACTCACTCCATCAGACTCCAGAACTATCTGAAGCTTTTCAAGTCTTTGTGACTCAAACTGGCCTTTTCTAGATGGATCCACTGACCCCACACTCAGAGAGGTAAACACCAGTGTGAAGCCTGCTGCTGGAGTCCACTGGTACCAGTACAGATTTGGATAATCAGTACCATTTACAGAGCAGGAGACCTTCAGAGATGATCCAGGGGAAAGAATCAGCTCCTTTGGTGTCTGGTGAACCTGTATGAGCTGCACACCTGCAATCATGAACATAATTGAAGTTGAAAAATGTTGATAAAATCATTGATAAAATGTACTGATGACATTATGAACCTACATATAGTGGACACCCACTGTAGTGTCAGGATGCAGAGAATCAAATACAAATGTGCCATTCTGAGTCGTACAACACACAGTAGGAGCAGCTCGATGCTTTACTAGGTTCTTACTGTGGTAAGGGGTGGGACCCTGAGGAAGATAGAAATGCATAGCTCTTTAGTGCACACATCACTAAAAACTCAATACAAACAGTTCAAAACTGACAATGTGAATCTCTGTAATTCAGGACAGTTGGTACATGTAACAAAAATATAAGCTATTTTGTAAGTTCAAATGTCATGAAACTTTACTACAGATATTCAGAAATTCCAAAAAAAACAAAAACACAGTATTCACAGTTCTTGTAAAAAGATCACTACTGCCAATGGAAAGCATGATTTCCCCAATTGTCAAACTCAGTCATAATTGTAAGTCTAAGTGCTAAAATTATTCTAAAAATCTATCATGAAAGAATATAACCTCTCACCCTGACTTTAACTAGAGGTGATAATTTTCCATCTTATATAAATAGCATGTGAAATGAGAGTTGACCAGTAAGCTAAGTCACACTTTCCATCTGAAAACAGCCACAACTGTAGCTCCTGAGTTGAATTACAGATTTCAAATGTCAAATTTAACTGTCATCTTTGCACACAGTGTAATCAGACAGTGGTGTTTTTTTCAAGGGCACATCATATGTTGAGTACAGTTCCAAGTGAGTCTACTTGCTTTGAAACTCAAGAGTTTTAGGCAAATACATTTACATTCATTGAAATAACGTGATGTATGTCACTTCATAAACAACATACGCAGGGTTATCTTCAAATAATTGTATGTAAACTAAGCTATTGGTTATTTGTTTTAATAATAACGAATAAGTAGATGAAGAAGAAGAAGAAGAAGAAGAAGAAAGAGAAGAAGAAGAAGTCTTTATTTATGTAGCACTTTCATTGTAATTACAAAATCTCAAAGTGTTTTACACAGGAATAAAAGTAAAAAATAGTAAATATAAAACACTTCACCCAAAATTAAAATAACAGCACCACGGCAAGCCACAGAGGAAAATAAGCCATGATACTTCTGTACTTTAAAAATTATGGTTCTTCAAGGGTTCTTTAGTAAAGAAAATGGTCCTATATAAAACCAAGAACTCTCAAAGCACCATCTGGATGCTTGAAGAGTTCTTTGCATGGTGAAAGAGTTCTTCAGATTGATGGAGAATGTGCTGTAGATGGTTCTATATAGAACCTTTTTGAAAAGAGTTCTACATGGCACCAAAAAGGGTTACATTTTTACGATATTAAGCTAAAAAAAAACCTTTTTGGGTGCTATACAGAAGTCTTTTCAAAAAGGTTATATGTAGAACCATCTACAGCACATTCTCCATCAATCTGAAGAACGCTTTCACAAGACAAAGAACCCTTTACTCATGCAAAAGGGTACTAAATACTAAAGAACCCTTGAATAACCATTATTTTTAAGTGTGTAGGCATACGCAAACCTAAACAAAAATGTTTTTAATCTGGAATTTATAACCCATCGAGCTCGCTTTTTTAATATTCTCTCTAAGCCATAGTTTAGGAGCTGTATGAGAAAATTATCTTCCACCAGCTGAGCTGTAAGTGATGCTAGGAGTTTGCAGTAAGCCCACCTCAGCTGAGTGAAGTGGTCTAAATGAGCTTTAACTTTTTAACAGATCAGTAAAATATGCTGGAGACCATGCAATGTGAAACTGATAATAGAGTAGTAAATTAATATTGTAATTAACAGTGATTTATAGGGCAGAGATAATGTGTTTGCCAGGAAACATGTTCTTCTTCAATAAGGTGATGAAAGTGCAGATTAGTCAGGGTGGAAGTAAAATGTGAAGAAAGAAAAAAAATGGGGCCCTGGCAAGCTATGAGAAAAGCAACAGCACCATCTGTGTTCAGAATGAGAAGTTTTCAGTTTTGCCTTGCTTCCTGTCTAGATTAAATTAGATTCTTCACTGTTTTCATCTCTCCTTCAAGGTCAGGAGCTTTTGGACAATCCAAAATATCTATTTGAGAAGAGGCCTACACTTTTGATGGTTTGGTGTGTTTTTTGTACAGCTCACTGATTACTCTGGGACACTGTGTAGACTGGCTGCACAGTACCACACAGCAGAGTCACTTTCACTCACTCCATCAGACTCCAGGTCTATCTGAAGATCTCCAGGTCTGCTAGACCTAAACTCACCTTTGCTAGATGGACCCACTGACCCAGTAGCCAAAGAAGTGAATACGAGTGTGAACCCTATTGCTGGAGTCCACTGGTACCAGAATAAAGTAGGGTTAGTAAGGCCAGTTATGGAACAGGAGACCTTCAGAGATGATCCAGGGGAAAGAATCAGCTATTCTGGCTTCTGCTGGACCTGTATGAGCTGCGCACCTGTGATAATGAACATGAATTTGATTGAAAAGCGCTGCTCAAATCATTGACAGCATTTCCATACTGATAACATTATTAGCTTACATAGAGTGGAAGTCCACTGTAGGGTCAAAATGCAAAACATGAAATACAAGCACTTCATTTTGAGCAGTACATCCTACAGTAGCAGTGCTGTAATGCTTTAATATGCTCTCACTTGGTTAAGGGGCGGGACCCTGTGGCAGCTTTGTGGAGGCTCTTTATTGAAATGCATGTCATTAAAACACATTGCCAAATAGTTCAAACAATGTTGTTTAGTACTCTGTTATTAATTCTATATTTTTAAGAGAATGTTAAAAAAGCAATTTCTTTAAAAATTCTAGAATCTTACTTCTATGTAAACGTTGCCCCCCAGTGGTGACAATGATAGTTCACATCCCTTTCATCTGCAAAACATATCCAACTGCATTGTGTATTTTGAACAAAACAAAATCTCTAAATTGCTAATGAAGAAGTCAGAATATTTGATTACAATATATTTTAAATTACTACATGTGCAAGTCATGAATATCTCAAATGTGCATGTCATTAAACTATTGAAATTCTGTCAGCCACTACATATAAATATAAATAGATTTATATAAATATATTTCAAGAACAACAGCAGATCTATTATATGGTACTCATGGTAAGCTAAAAAAGGCCACCCTTAATTTATTTAAGTAAAAAAAGCAGAAAACACTAAAATTGCACAGAACCTTCACATATAAGCAAGTAAATATAATGTTTTCAGTATTTAGTGAGTCCCCACTTTACAGCTTTATATTCTTTTTGAGAGACTTGCTTTCAGTTTTTCAAAGAAATCTGCAGGGATATTTTCCACACCTCCAAAGTTTAGTCTTAGATGTTGGTTGCATTTTCTGCTTCTCATGATGTAAGTAATCTCAAACATATTCAGTGATGTTGAGGTCTGGACTCTAGGGTGGTCAGTCCATTATTCTGAGAACATCAACAGCTTCTTTGTTTGATTTTGGAATTGTTTTTGTCCATTTCCTTTTCCCAATAGCCCTGTCTTGACAGCTGCACATCCTTTCAGACCATTTATCTGATGGGGACAGTTTTGGCGGTTTACCAGGTCTTGTATGGTCAGTATGAGTCTCATTTTCTTTTTATCTTTTACATTTTGTAAACTCCAGTTCTGGAAACTCCTATTTTGCTGTTCCCCCTCCTTATGCAAGTGGATCATTTTGTATCTAATCTCCTCAGAAATGCCTCTGAAATAACAAATAACCTGATAGTGATTTTGACTGGAAATGAATAAATGAAGGTTTGTCTCTGAAATTTTGCACAGCACTGTACCTCAGTTAAAAGCACTGTGAACATCTCACTCAAAACATGATGGAACAACCATAGATGCAAAATTCATCATGAAATATTTATATATAACATGCTTTTTTTCAGGGGATTGTTTTAATAACTGAAAATAGTTTATTAAACTTAATACAATGCGATCATATATTACAAGTAAACAAATACATGTTGTTCACAAAATCAAAACACTTGTCAGATTGCCTTACTCAGGACAACTCAGTGTAGAAAATAAGTAGTAGAGACTGCCCGATCCACCTGCGGTCCTTGAGTTTGGCGATTTCCCTGCCCTTAACACCCTCTCTAAACCTGGCTGAGCTGGTTGCTGAGTTAAATCAGGTGTGTCTGAGTAGAAAAATCACCAAATTCTGCAGGTCTTCCAGGACTGGAATTCACCACCCCTGATTTAGACTCTGTAATCACCTCTTAAACTACAGGCCTTTCCATAAGCATTTTCCACTGTTCAGTGCCTGCACAACCAGTACAATGCAGTAGTTACTTCGGATTAGTTAAGACAGGAGTTCAACAGGAAAAGCACCAATTAATCAGTGGCAACCAGGAAAAAACAACTGCAAAGATTAGACTGTCTGGCTCTCTAACACTTAACCATTTCAGAGCAATTGAGAAGAAAAGGGAATTCATATGTGTGTTTTAATTATAATTCTTTATATACAGTGATTCACAAACATTTCTTCTTAAACAAAGATACAGTAAGTACAAAACATGTAAAAGCTGTGTACATCATTATAAATAAAGTAGAACAATGTATATGAACTGCAATTTTGAATTGCTTTTACAGTACATTTCATTTGTACATGATAGCCCTTTGTCCTTTGGAGTAGAGGTGGTCTGCTCCTAGCTGCTGATCTGAGGTCAGATGTGGTCATTTCAGTGTGGAAACGGCTGGTGAAAGCTGATATTGGATGTATTGGCACCGATGACTATATATGAGTGGACAGCATGACAGCAGTTGAACAGTAAAGCCAAAATGCCTCTGACACCCTCTAGTGGCAAGCTGCATTTCAAAATGTCTAGTCAATTTCTTGTTGGTACTTGTGTTGTACAAGTTTCCCTCATCTTAACATACCCCTCAGAGTTTAACTTAACAATAAAAAGATGTCATATAAAAGATAATTGCTGATATAAGGGTGTGGATAATGAGGTGATTGACAGCTGTAAGTGTCAATCCAATGTCAAGGACATGCAGGCACTTTATTTCACACCACATCGCAGTGAGATTCTATCACTAGACAGCTTTGTTTTTCAGTTTTTGTAGATTGACAGTAATAACCTTAACACAGATTTACAGTCATGAAGCAAATGCATGTCTTCATCAGTTATTTTTTGGCAATTATCGTCTGTAAGATTGAGAATTATCTTAAATTCAGTCATTCTTCCATCATGAAGAGAGAGTGTCCGTTATAAATATAGGCAGAGATACTGCTCCTCCTCCCACGCTGCAAAACAACGGTATCTTGTCAAGTGAAATGATCTTAAATCTAGTCAATATATCTAATATTTCTCATTTCGAGATTGTTGTGCACTTACTATAAGATTATCTATCTTATTTCTAGACTTTTTCACTTGTTTTTTTCAAACAATGGTAATTTGTATGAAAAAAACAATTGTTAATTTTTTCAAGTAAAATTATTATCTGCCAATATAGTGAGACCATTTCATGTAATAAAATTCCTTAACACAAGTAAAAAATTAAGAAATATAATTTGAAATTAAGCTTACAACAATCTCAACAGGAGAAATATTAGATTTATTGACTACATTCAATATTATTTAACTTGACAAGATGTTTTGCAGTGCGTCTCTACAGTGCACACTACCACCCCAACACAAACATAAACCAGATCTGAGCATCTTCACCAACTTTAGGCTTCAATGGGAGTGGAGTCATGCTGTCCAATAACATATACAATCTTTCAGCACGGTGCTGTATGCAGAAAAAGGCACGAGAGTCCCGGTCAGGCCATGAGGCCTACAGCTATGACCACTGGTCCCTATCCGTGCCGGCCTGGCCTGCTCTTTCCCATTGCGTAGTTAAAACAGCTGGCACAGCAGAAACTGGAGAAATAGCGGTTGCCACACAGGCGGGCGGTGACGATCAGCTGACAGTTAGCCAAGTCCGGCTCGTCCACGCAGTCAGCCGATGGGCTAAGGCCTCCACCATAATCTACAGAGAGAATGAAAAACTCATTGTGTCCATCAGAGAATTTATTACTGCGCAGGGCTGTTCTTACTGGTACTGACCATTCTCTGAATAACAGTGATGCACTGAATTAAGTTGACTCAAATATGCCTAAAATCTATCTAAAAAAGTATCAGTAAATTCAATGCATCGCTCTTCTCAGTGTGGGTTCATGTGTTATGCATTTTAGAAAGGTAACATTCCACTAATTCTTTCTTTTATTCAGTTAGATACAGTACTGAAGGTGTGTCACCATGCTGTCCTGAAATAATCTCTGAATGTTAGATATTCAACATTGTCTGACATTGTGCCTCAGATCTATCTACAAACACATCCACTGGGCTTGGATATGCAGAATATGTGTTCACTGAGGACTCAAATCAAGTGTTGACCAAAAGTTTAAACATTAAACTCTTAATATTCACAGATATCCACATCCTTAACCAAGACAATAATGCAAATTTAGACAAATGAGTATCATCTGAAGGATTAACGTGATTAGTATTATTGTGATCTGAATTAATTTACCACATGTGAGCGTTAGAGTCTTACATTATAGCTTGTGTAATCAAACACTGTTAACATTCAGTGCTTCTCCACATCAGTGTCCCAAGTCTGGACTTATGGATATGGATATAACTGAAATAACATTAGCTAATTAAGAGCTGGATTGTCAAAACATGACTACCTTTGGTCACCCGAATTTCAGCAGTGGCACTGACGGAGTATGTACCACTGTAGGCGTTGCAGGTATAAGAGCCTTCGTCCACAGGCTGTACGTTATGTATAATAAGAGTGCCATCTGCCGACAACAGCACTCGATGTCCATCTGGCCTTACTGGCACACCATTCCTGCCCAGGAGAACAACAGCATGGTAAAAACACAAACACTCATCAATCTTCTCCTTTACTTCATAAAGAAAGCTAAGACTGTTACAAAACAAAACACTGTTGGCTTTAAACAGTGACTTTCAAAAGTCTTCAAATAAAGGCTTATGTTGATATTGACCTGGACCAGCCCACATTGACATTTTCTCCAGACACTATGCAGGGAAGCTGAGCCGTGCTGCCCCGGGACACCTGCACATTATTGGGGGCTGTGGTGATCCTCAGGTCCCCTAGTGGTGGAGAGCAGAAACACAGCTGTACCATTCAAACTGTACTGACTGCATATCGCTGCTGTCTTATCAAACCAGTGTAACTCTGTTTTCATCCATCCATCCATCCATCATCTAAACCGCTTATCCTTCTGGGTCGCGGTGGGGTGCTGGAGCCTATCCCAGCTGTCATTGGGCGGAAGGCAGGATACACCCTGGACAGGTCGCCAGTCCATCACAGGGCAGACAGACAGACATACACATTCACACACACACACATTCACACCTAGGGGCAATTTAGCATGTCCAATCAGCCTGACTGCATGTTTTTGGACTGTGGGAGGAAACCGGAGTACCCGGAGGAAACCCACGCAGACACGGGGAGAACATGCAAACTCCACACAGAAACGACCCCGGTCACGCGGCCAGGAATTGAACCCAGGCCCTTCTTGCTGTGAGGCGACAGTGCTACCCACTGCGCCACCGTGCCGCCCTACTCTGTTTTCATCAGTTTTTAATTGTTTTACAGCATTAGTGAAAGGACAGGAGCTCCTTACATTGTATGAACACTTTATGAAAAATGGACCAATGTAAATGGTCCAAAATTACTTGGAACACAATCTTGTTACAGAAAACAAAAAAAAAAACATTGCCTGATTCCTGAGACACTGTTTTATTTTGGCCAAACTTTTTAAACTTCATTTTTAAAATCTATTCATAGCAGAGAGGTGCAGGTTCAGGTGTTTAAAACCCATAAAGATGTGATGTGTAGGTGTCCCAGTAGTTTTGTCCATACAGTGTACATGTAGCATAACAAAGTTTAGGACAAAACAGTCCCCAAAGAAAATGGATTTTCCACATTTGCCACAATTTTATCATCATTAACATTACATATAAAAACTCAGAGGACACACGTAGGTTCACTGGTCATTCTGAATAGTAAACAAAATGGCTATATGGGTTGTAGACTTTGTGACACCTGGTTTCTATCACCAACATTGTAAAGAAATCTGAGTCTGTACATTTCTCTACATGAACCGGTTCACATCAAATCACAATGAGTTATGTTTAAAAACATTTAAAAATCTATGGACTTTCCTATTAAAATGATAATATTAAGAATTCTTTTCATTTCAACAACAACAACAATTAGTATACTTCATGGTAAATAATCAATGAAGAGCTTATCAAACCTGTAACTCTGAGCTGGACTTGAAATTGTTCCAGCTGTTGACTGCTAGCGGCTGTACAGGTGTAAACACCTGAATCATTAGATGTGAGGTTGTTAATGACCAGGGTGCCATCCGAGTTCTGTGAATGCCTGGTCAGTCAGAATATCAAGCAGGAGGGTGGAAGCGTAAGCATTAAAAGCAGGGAAATCAGTCAGACACAAATTCACATGCTCACATATAAACACGCAGTCACAGTAAAACCAGTGCTAGTAAATTAAAGCAACTGGGCTTGTGGTACAATTTTGAAGACATTATTTGCCTTTCACCTGAGAGGTTTCATCAAAACTAATGTGAAATGGCAAAATGCCTTCAACATTACTTCATATCTAAGGAGCACTTACATGAACTCTTATGCAGAAAAGTAACCTTTTTCATACAGACATCCACAAACACATACCTGAGTGTGTTGAGCACAGCTCCGTTTTTGGTCCACTGAATCCTGACTGAGGACATAGCTGAGGTGGGTAGGATAGTGCAGTGAAGTCTGGCAGTCTGACCTGCACGAGCCTCAACCAGCGCTGAGCCTGACCGGTCAATACTAAACCTGATAAAACCCAGAGCATGGGGCACACTGAATCAGGGTGTTCACTTTACACTGCTTTATGCTTCATGTGTTAGTGTATATATGCGCTGGTGCGAGTGTTTGATGGTCAATACCTGGGCTTGTGCTGGTGTGGGTCATGAGGGATAAGGTCCAGTGAGTCAGCAGGATCTGTCCTCTCTGCTCCATCCCGAGGTAACGTTGAATCCTGAGCAACCTGTGAAGCCTCTACAAGCATAAAACAATCCTGTGTGAAATCATCCATGCATATCGCACTACTGTGCATCATAATGCATCCTATTTCAAACAGTGTTGTCAATGAAAGAGAGCAGAAGATGCTTTTAGTCAGCCTCTAAAGTCCCCCTGAAATGTCTCTGTTTACCTTTTGCTTAACTATTTCTCATTCATAGCTAAGTGAAAAAAGGACAAATTCCAAACTTTGTATCTGAACTACATTTAAGTTTTTAAGGACGAAAGTATCTGAATTTTACTCCTGTATTTTTTTCTTGTAAGAAGTCTTCTAACTTTATAAATTACATTTACACTTCGAAGCTGACAAGAAGACAAGGCAAGTAGGTCTAATAGCCTGCTTTTTCCCCGCTTATAAACTACACCATATTTAGAAAAACTGATTTAGTCCTGGTTTAGTAGGTTTGCTGGGTCATACAAGAAGTAAAGCCAAATTACAATCAGTTTCAATTCTGGTCATATGTTGGTTGTTGCACAAAAACACATGTAGGCTAGTGTTAACATGCCCACCACATTCTCAAACAGCACAGAATGAAAACTCTGCTAATGAAAACATATTTGTTGGCATATGTCCTGGCTGATAATAACCTTTATTTTCTCTGTCTACTCGGAATGTGCCTGTAAGTCCCCTAGTAGAACATCTGACAATGAGGTGACCAACGTATTATTGAATTTTACCCCTGTACTGGCAAAAGCCATGATGGTTTTCCTGTCTTGGCAATTGCTGAAAAAAATACTGATAAAATATGATAAAAAAAAAAGTGTCTGGACAGTTTGAGATGTGCTCGAGTTTTCAGCGTCTTCAATTTTACAGTGGAGTGATGAAGCTTGGTGCACCATATTTCATGGTTATGTTACAAATTCAGGCTGGGGGAGTTTACAGTTTATCCAAGGGGTGGAATCTAAGGTTGAACATGATAAACATAGAAAAGAAGATTAAAAAATAATTTTAGGAAATAATACAGGACATTCCAAGTGGATTTTCACTCTCTTACGGTGAGGGGTCAGAAATTCCTTCTTAGTATCAGTATTCTTAGGCCAATATGGTATCTGTACCAGCACAACACAATTTGTCAGTAGAGATTCTAATATGACTTAAATGAGATAAAAAGTCATTACTGTGTTTGTGTATTATTTTGCCGTTTGTCATTTTCTGACATTAAAACATAGATATTTACATAGTTATTACATAGAAATGACTAAGAAGTATGAACTGAATGTATAGTAAAATGCCAATATAAACTCTAGAATTATAAGGGTTAATAAATTGTTGTTCAAAGATTGAATACAAAACTCCAAAAGGTGGACAGAACAGACCCCCACTGCTAAGAGATGAGTACAGTGATGGAGAATAGAGAAGAGACAGCATAGAGGTGGCAGAATGCAGAATAGTAGCTGTAAGTTGAGAATATATTAGCTAAGAGGAAGGAAATCCAGGCTTTTAACCACTTAAAATTACATATTAAAGCTTATTATTCAGTAACTACAGAGACTTCAATGCAAACTGGTTGAGCTGCTCTTAGGTTATGAAAGTGTGTAAGGGGTTAAATAAGAGGCGGTTTTCACCTGAGACAGACAGGTAGATGTAGCGGTAATCTCTCTCATGGTCTCGCGTGGCCACACACAGCAACCAGCCAGAATCCCCCACCTTTACAGGACCCACCAGCAGAGAGCCATTAGGCTGCTGTCTGTGCCTGCACATTAAGAGGAGTCACTGAAGAGAGTGCGCGAACCACTGTTCAAAATTTAGTTTTTGTTACATAACTTCATAATGAATTACCATAAATGAATAACAGCAGTACATTATTTATCATTCAATAACTTCTTGCTTTTCCCAAAATACTTCTATTCAATATCTAAGAATACACTCTTTTGTCCAGTTTCTCACATTTCAATCTATTACTTGTCACAGTTGCATGCAAAAATTTGGGCACCCCTCACCAAATTACATATTATATCGATTTTTGAAGTGAGAACAGAAGTGCAGAAGTAAAGACAACCTTTGCAGCAAACTGTTTTAAAAATAACATGTCCACACAATGTTACTTTATATGGTCAATGTAAAAATAGAAAAAAAAAATACTATTAATTATGGCATGTGCAAACAATTTCAGTTGTTAAGTCTCATAACTTAATTGAGTCATTGTGTTGTGTTAAATTCTGTTCACTTCAAAAAACACATTTTTTCATTCGTTTGACGACTGACCTGCTGCTAGGGGCTAAAAGAAATGTTAGATAAACATCTTACAGTATTACTAAGCCTTGGAATGAGTGACCAGCTGATAATGTACTGACCTGGCAGGGTCGAGAGGGATGCCGTCTCGTCTCCACTCCACTGTCACGGTGGAGGAGGGGGGTGGGCTCACCCTGCAGGGCAAAACCACCACCTGTCCCACTATCCCCTCCACTGTAGAGGGGTCCGACTTGTCTATACTCACACCCACAGCAGTCCAACTGATGCAGGGCAGGCCAGGAAATAAGAGATAGGAAGGGAAAAAGGGAGAAGGAAAAAAAGGTAGACAGACAATAGAGAAAATACATGCAGAAATAAAGGAAAGAAGAAAAACAATGAAAGAAAGAAAGAGGGAGAGAAAGAGGAAACAATCACTTTATGCTGTACTGTTGGCAACAACATAGTACAATCTGCAGTCACCAAAGTAAGCATAAAGATCAGCCTTAACCTGGCTACAGCCACAGAGGAACAGAATGCACAATCTCTGTGGCTTCTTCTTCAGTCTAAAGAGCAAACATCCTTTAGACTACATAGAGTGGACAGAGCATTCGGTCTTTAGTGTTTCCACATGCCTCAGGCTTGGGACATCATGCACTTCATTCTATTCATACCACACAAGCATGAATGGTGAGTACAAAAGTGGGCGTCCAGGCAACATAGGTTTGCCTTGCGGTGAAGAAGTCTGACCGTCACCAAAGTGATTTGTTTACTGCTCCAAGTGGTATATTTTATGAAGCCTTACTGACCACATTATCACAATGCAGAGGTTAGAGTAGTAATTTTGTCTCATTTTATGTTCTCTGTTCTCATTTTATGTTATCTAAACCCACACATTCGTTATTCTAGGGCTTTAGGCAAGAAGGATGAACAGCTCTCAGACAAATTCCATACTCACAGCAAACCACTAAAATTATTTTGTTGCTGTTGTGACAAAAATGCTCATATATCAGAAATGGTAACTTTGGAGGAGAAGAAAAAATAACATTTGTGACTTCAGAAATTATGACAATACAAAGACCATTTCTATCGGTTCATCCATCATAACTTAAGAGGTTCTGATACAACAGCAACAAAACTGACATGAAATACATGAAAGCAAACAAATGACAAAACACACTGACAAGCTCTTAAAAAATGTATGTTGACATTTGCTGTAACCACAAGCTAAATAAGAGCATTTGGAGTGGAAATGTGACTAAAGAATGTTGTGATATTGGAAGCGTAATGGCTACTGAGGTTCAGCTTTCGCTTTTAAAGCATTTAAGTGTGTGTACAATACTGTGAAAAAGTCAGAGACCATGCTTCACATGTTCACTTTCCAGTGAAAACAACCAATAAGTACAAGATATTCATCACAGGGAGGAAAAAACACAGAAAATAACAATTCAATAGGAATTTACACAGAAGCCTCCAACACTGAGTATGATATCAAATGTATCAGTATTTAATTTGTCCACGCTCTACTTTTGGAGTCACTGACGTAACATTCCCCTTTAAAGAGACATTTAAAGAGACTTAAAGAGACTTAAAGAGACACAAGCAACTACCAAAACACACCTTAGCTGCCCTTTCATGTGCATCTGAAATGAGTAAAGGAGATTACATATAAGATAATCCACTTGCATAAGGAAAAGGAAAGTCAGGAAGTCAAGGAAAATAAGTGAAAAAAACAAGTGCTTCTAAGACTGGACTTCAAAAATGATTAAGAGATACACAGAAAATGAGACTCCTAACACCTATGCAAGACCTGGCGGACCGCCAAACTGTCACAATCAGATAAACAGTACTTAAAGCTGTTACTGAGAAAAGGAAATAGACCAAAAAAGAAAAATATTTGCATTACACGACCAAACTGGATATCTGAGATATTGAGCAAGGTTGTTTGGACTGAGTTTAAATCTGAAACTGATCCTGAAAAGCAGAAAATGCAACCAAATTCCCTGCAGATTTCTTTGAAAATCTAAAAGCAAATCTCTCAAAAAGAATGGAAGCTGTAATAAAGGCTAACGGTGGGATAATGGCTAATGGTCCACTATACACAAAAAAAACATAATATTTAGCTGTAATCTAATGGTAAATATATGTTTCCTACTCTTTTCCTGATGCTGAAAATGAATAACTTGTACTCAATTGCTGTTTTGACTAGAAATTAAATAAATGAAAGGGTGGTCCCTGACTTTTGCACAGAGCGCTGGGAAGAGACACACAGACAGAGCAGCACTGTTGGGGCATCACAGCAGGTTTCTTTATTAGTCACACTGAACGACATAAGGAATGACAACAGCGCTCAGACGGTGTGGAGAAAGCAAAGACACAAGTGAGGGAGGATTCAGGAAAAAGCCTAGACTACCAAGCTAACAGACTAAACACAAATCTCAGAGCAACAGTGGAGGAAGAGGGCACAAGTGTGGAGGCAGGAGAAATGTACCAGTCCCAAAAGCACAGCAATGTCCGCAGTGAGGGGAATCAACTTCTCCTGGGCAAAGTGTGTGCACAGCCAGAGGTAAAGAATGTGTAGGGTGTGTTGCGGCATGAAAGTGGGCATGAGAGTCAGCAGACACACTGATGCATGTATAAACATAAGCGAGCATGAGATATTAACAACTATGAGTATGTATTACAATATGCATGTATAATAAAGTGGTACCATAGCTGCAATGCAGGTAATGTATCTATGGGTGTAAGCAATGGGTTTGGACTGTTGATGAGCATCTGTTATTAACCTAATCTATGCTAACCAAATAAGCTAAGCAGACTATATTACTAGATAAATTAAGAGAAATACATTATAAAATACCTTTAAGGTATATCAGAGACTCTGCTGACTCAGTGAACACTGGTACAGTGCGTGACAACACGTATGAGTGAGTGAGCAGGTCTGAAGTGCTGTGTGAGTGAATAAGCATGTAGGCCTGTTAGTTTGTGTATTAGAGCTGCACAACAGTAGTTCTGTGATTACACTTTATATCACGATTGTGATATGCCTTGCAATATTTTAAAAATTCTTGGATGAACTGATAATGTTGACCAAAACACCTACAGGAACACTCATTTGGAAATGTGATAGGTTAACCCTGGGGTGGGCTATATGGCAAAAATATAACATCAAAATACTTTTTCATACATTTTCAGAATAAACAATATGGATCACTATGTTTAGTTTTTCTGAGAAGTTAAAATAAACAGAGTGCAACATTACAAAAATACTAACAAAAACAAGCAATACAATAACTTTTATTTAATGCTTCACTGCACTGCACTAATATCCAATTGAATGGAACTAATTATGCTCTCTTTGTAATGAACCATGCAGCTCATCAGTGTTCTTTAAGTACTGAAAATACCCACAATACGCTCAGAAAAAAATATTGTGATGTAATGTGACTTAATGCATCACGATAATGATAAATATCGTCACATTGCTCACCCCTTGTTAACCCTATCGAACTGAGTGTCTGACCAGCATTCCATTCTGAGAATCTGGCAATGATTTCTTTAACTTGTTTAAATCTGGGACCAGAGGAGTTACAGTGCATTCATAGTCTTCGTAAAATGTATCCACGTATAGAAATAGAGTTTCTGTGTGCTACAACATTTGAAAAAAAATTTGAAAAGCGAGTGATTCTCTCTATTTTTGAAAACCGTTAGAATTTTTTAAGTTGTATAGTGTATGCCTGGCTTAAGCACTTTTTGCTTTGATCGCAGTAAAAATAAAGCACAACTGATGGGTGATGTGTTATACTGCTATTCATGCGTTTGCTTGTTCCAAAATGCAGTTTGAGACAATGTTTGGCATTGTGAGATCACACACACACACACACACACACACACACACACACACAGACACACATTTTCTAAGCCGCTTATCCTTCTGGGTCACGGGGGGAGCTGGAGCCTATCCCAGCAGTCATTAGGTGAAAGGCAGGAAACACCCTGGACAGGTCGCCAGTCCATCACAGGGCAGACAGACAGACATATACAATCACACACACACTCACACCTAGGGGCAATTTAGTATATCCAATTGGCCTGACTGCATGTCTTTGGACTGTGGGAGGAAACCGGAGCACATCACTGCAACATCACTGAGAAACCAGAAAGAGACCATGTTTTTATGTACAAAGTAAAAACAGAGTGATTGGTTATTGCAGTATCAGTATTGAAAAGGCCACCACCGCAATAACAATTACCAAACAATACATTGTGCAGCCCTAATATGTGTATATGTATCTGTGAGTGTCTGTAGTGCTGTATGAGTAAGTGAGCAGGTCCTGGGCCTTTGTGAACTACTCTCATGGCAGAGGCAGTGTCAGGCTCCTCAGACAGGCACAGGGTGCAGGTGGGACAGTTTGAGGCAGGTTGAGGTGGTTTGGGGTAATCTGGGGTAGTGTGGGGCAATTAGGGTCAGTGGGGGTCCTGAGCTCTTACCTGGCAGAGGGGCTGCTGAGCTGCACGGCTCTGGGAGCAGGCCGGCGCCCCCGCAGCTGGATCCTGGCATGGCGGGCATGCTGGGCTGCGCTGGCTCCCAGACGGATTTGGCCTGAGCTGGCTTCGCCATTGTACACCGTGGAGACGGGCACACTTCCCTGACACGTGTGCTGGCATTCCTCTAGCGTGGCAAAGTTGTTGCTGTTGCCTTGGCAGCCGCCGTACCAGAAATGCACGCAGCGGGACGAGGCAGGGTCGTAGTAGTAGCGGGCGGTCCACTGGTCACACAGGCCGGCGGTGTGGGGCAGCTCGCAGGACACGCGCTGAGCTGGAGAAAAGCCAATAGATGCACAACATTCAGTTCTGCATGACTCAAACAGGCCTGTGCGGTTGTAAATCTCATCTCTGTAGCTGCAGTCCCATTCAGACTGATGCAGTCTTTTTCTGACTGTCTGACTTCTAACACCAGTCATTAGCTTTTGTCACAGACCTTTCCTTTGTTTGACCTGAGTGCCTCTGTTTAATCTGACATGTAAACATGTCCTACTCCTATCCTAACTGTGCTATCTGGTGCAGCCCAGAGGATGGTTTCCCCTTTTGAGTCTTAGTTTCTCTTCTTGCTCTTAGAGAGTTTTTCCTGCCACTCCACTCTCCCTCATCTTGCTTATTACTCCACTGCATAATTCCACCACATAATCAGGATGTAATTCAGTCATAATTCAGTCATAAAGAGGTAAACAAAGTCATTCAGAGTGTGATGCGAAATGGACCATTGTAGAGAAACCTACTGGCTTAGAATTCTTTACAATGATGATAATAGGAACCAGGTGTCATGGTATCTACAACGCAAATATAGCCACTTTTTACAATCCAAAATGACCAGTGAACTTACATGTGTCTTCTGAAATTTGATTACTAATGTGGATAATGGTAAAATAAGGGTCAAATAAAATAAAAAAATCCCTTACTACACTCTGTATGTAGCTCTATATCATGAATATATTTCAACTAATAGATCCAAAGTGCCATAAAAAAGTGTCTCATGTATTAGGCAGCATACATGTAACCATTTTATGCAATAACTTTATGTGAGGTAGCTTTTGGATGCATTAAATCCTTCAGCTGTCTGGTTCCCACCACAGTCACTCTAAACAACTGTGACTCGCATTTCAAATCAAACCATTTTGAATGACTGTTGACATATCAACAATTCAAATATGTAGAAATTCTGAAAAAATAATGGAATTCTCTCTCAATGGGTTGGATCCAGATCTCCATATTTGCTGCTTTGTAATCAGTCCTATGTAACCAATATCAAATATTAAAAAAAATAAATAATTTTCAGATGGAACAAGTCTATGCCTTACTATGTTTGTAACTAATCCTGGGTGGTACTGTAATCCAGTACCACAATATTTTCCACATGCATCAGTGTTTGCTGTTATTTTAGTTTTGTTTGTATCACGTCATAACAGGAGAGATTTGGTTTTGAGTACTTTTTTCATAGTCAAAACTCATTATGCCCATTATTTTTGCCTTATCATCTAGCGTGTGCACCCTCACAACAGAAATACAAGAACTCCTGTGAAAGACATTACATGTGAGATAATTCTTTGTCTCTGACTGAGATTTGATCACTACATTTATCTTCAACATTTTGAAGGGCACACACCCTACTTAAGGTCTACTTGTAAAGTTTTTGTGGTTTTATTTCCAAAACAGTAATGATACATTTTCACATGATCACTTTCAACTTCTCTTTATCCCTTAGACTTAAACAGGCCATTTTTGTTACTATGCTTTTAAGATATAAGATATATAAGGTACATGTGAAGGAGGTCTGTTCTAATGCCTTCTATTGAGCCTTATTCAAAAAGTGGTTTGAGTTGAAACATTCCTTGTAACTTCAGTCTGAATAGATGGAGCTAAAGTGCTGTAGATTGATTCCAAAACAGGATTTTGCAGCCTAGTTGTCATATATGGACTGGGAAGTGTACGGTATGTTTTGAAACTTAAATTAAAAACAATGTTTACGTACTGAATAAAGCTCCATATTTCAAAATAAAAGGAAAATTCAGTTTTAGTCCTTGATAAGGGTCCTTTAAATTGTACTGAAAACAAAGAGAAAAATTCAGAGAGAGAAAGTGATCCCAAACTTTTGAATTGTGATTTCAAACTTTTGAACGAGGGTGTGTATCACAGTATAAGTGAAGTTAATGAGTCCATGCTTCCTGAGTACTGAGGGCTGGTACGCTATGCTAAAAGAATGTCTTTAAACTTTTTTTCTTATTATTATACTAAAAGAAACACTGCACAAACTACATTTTTCAGACAGAAAGCTTACTATTTATTTAGTTATTATATATTTTAAACTGTTTTTTTTAAATGATGCGAGGCACCCAGCAAATGACATGCACTGCAGTTAACTGTCAGGTCCTGCATTTCACGTGTAAATTGCACAAAACAGAAATATCACAGGATGAGACTTGTACAGCATTATGGACAATATAGACAACATATCAGCCAGCAGTATATCTAACTCACCACCAGTTGGGGGGTTGGGGCAGCCCTCTCCGTAAGCACCACTAGCAGTGGTCACTCCATCATAACAGCACCCATATGTGGATGTGCGGCAGTCTACAGGAGGAGAAGCCGGCTGAGTGCAGAGAGAGAAAGAGACAGAGGAAAGTGATGAGATACAGAGATAATGTTGTACAGTAAGGCTGCTGGGTGAATAGTGAAACAGAGTGACTGGCAGATACTCACAGTTGGGACATATTCTGGAACATACTCTGGGACATACTCTGGGACATATTCTGGGACATATTCTGGACAGCCCTCCTTATTGGGACCATGGGCTTTAGATACTCCATCTCGACAACAGCCGTACCTGAGAGATGTGATATGGAGCACTGTGTGTAATGCAGTTAAGAGCATGTGTGCACACGAGTTACATTTGCAAGTTTCATACATCATAAATTGCATTTCACCATGTTTACAACTGTATGTACTGTCTCTGTAATTATTTAATTTCTTAACCCTATAACTGGTGATAATGAAAATATATACAAATTATTATGTAATTACATTTAAATGATCATGTAAAGTATTGTGTACAGCAATTAGTCAATAACATCCTTTGACTATACACTTTGTAGGGATAACTCAACTGCTATTATTTGTGTAAATGATATGACTTCTCCCCATTATTCTACCTGGTGCGGGAACAAAGCGATCTCTGGACACAGCCTTGACCCCGGGGGCCACTGACTGCAGTCCTGCCATCAGGACAGCAACCATATGGAGACTGACGACAGTGAGGAACCACACCTGTACTGGGGTAAGGGTCTACATCTACTGGCTGACGCACTGAGAGAGGGAGAGAGAGAGAGAGAGAGAGAGAGAGAGAGAGAGAGAGAGTGGAAAGTTTTTTATTATTCTTTGAAGAACGCCATTCACACAGAATTAATGTGGGAAGCAAAAGTGGAAGGGGGCAAACAGGCACTGTGAAAACATGAGATAAAAGGAGAGTGCGAACAGCAGGATGAGGAGAAAGAGAAAGAGAAAGTCATAGACTTTCATAATGAAAGAGGGCCGAGAAGACAAAAAACAGACAGGGCAACAGACTCCAATAAGACAGACTTGGACAGACACACAAACACCACCCACTAATTCAATTCCAGTAAACTAAACACTTTCACAGCGGATCTATTTAAAGACTTGGGTACAAAACTTAACATGCTTCTCAAAGAATACTGAAACATACTAGAGGCATGGATATGGAACTGAAGCCTGAACCCGGGACTTTCAGGCCCAAATGGTACTGCTAAATTTGAAACCTGAAACCAGCCTGACCCCACCGTCACACACTATACGAGAGATAACTGTCACAGAAACAGTTTTACAGAGATTTGCTTTGTTATGAAGTGCTTGATCGACAATAAATAAATAAATAAATAAATCCCACCCCGATACTGACATTTGTTTTTGGCCAGTGCAGTGATAAAGTCTGAAAACCCCTGGTCGGATTACCATATTACCATAATATGGTACCATAAGAAAATACACATCCTCTACAAGAAACACACTTAAATATTGCATTTTCCTGCACATTTTAGAGCACAATTTCTATTTATTTGCTGAGTTTAACATATTGGGAAAAAAATAAAACATAAAAAGTACAACAGAATATAAAATAAATAGTAACTGTGCATTAAAACGTGTAGAAGTTTGTTTTCCTTTTTATTTTGTTTTGTTGTACACATACTAGACTATACTAATGATAGAGAAATTTGCAACTAAACAAATCTACATAAAAATCACTCATTACAAGACAAACCCGAGCCTAATCAAACCCAATGCTGTCTGTGAAAAACTGGCTACAGCAGCAGCTCAGACATGACCAGCACTCCCTCCTACACTCGAGTGCCTCACAAATATTTTAATCACATAGACAATCCTGAAAACATGCCAATCAGGTCCAGATAATGAGTGCAGGGACAGAGGGGTGAGGGGTGCAGTGCTGGGAAGAGGGTGGAGTGGGTTTTACAGGGGAAATCACAGTGAGACTCAGAGAGAGAGGAGAGATATGAGGCCAAAGTGGAACCACAAGAGCGGAACTGCACTGAATGATTTATAGAGTGTAGAAGAGGCGGTAACCTGGAGCATGTTCCTCAGGAGTATAAAGCTGGAATCCATGCAGGGTGTTGTCATAGCCTCTTGGGTCCTGCATGCTGGGCACCACTGTATAACATGAATAGGCAAAAGACTGTGACCCAAAAAAGTGATCCAAAACATTCCATATCACCACTAATAATACACTCTTACCCATTGAAACAAACAGTAAAAGTTGATGCAAAGTGCTAATTCTAAACCTGAACAGATTCTACACATTCATTACATTTCATAATTATGTAAATATTTACATAATTATATGTATATTGTTCAGCAAAATAACAGGAATAACTCTAGACTTCTAAACAACAACTCAATCATGTGACTATGCAAATCTACGACTATGCAATACAAATACATTTGTACTATGAACTTTTATTAGATACCACTCTTCATTTGTCTAGTTTCCAGTTTAAGCATCCATTTAGTACAAGCTATTCTTTTTTCAGGAGATATTTCTGAGGAGATTATATATGAAACAATCCACTCCTTTCTGGGACAACCATGCAAGAACTGATAGTCCACCAAAACTGTCAAACAGTACTTAAAGCGTTCATCTTCGAGAGATAAGAGAAAATCAAGCTCCACTCTTGCTTCAGATCTGAAAAAATACACGTATTTCCATCCATTTTTTCACTGTGAGAAGACAACACTATGAATCTGAAAGGATGTGTAGCTGTCAAGAAGCCCTTACTAATAAAAGGAAACCAACTAAAAACTGACCGCTTCAGAGTCCAGACCTCAACATCACTGAATGTGTTTGGGATTACTTCAAATGTGAGAAGCCAAAAATTCAACCAACTTCTAAGACTGAACTTTGGAGGTGTGGAAAAATCCCGTGCAGATTTCTTTGAAAAACGGAAAGCAAGTCTCTCAAAAAGAATGGAAGCCGTAATTAAGCCAAAGCGTGGACACGTTCACTGCTGACAAAATATATATTTAGTTGTTGAGGCTTCTATGTCATGTTCTGTTGAATATATGTTTCTGATTTTTTCCTTGACAGTGAAAATTGAGTAACTTGTACTTGATGACCATTCCAACTGGAAATTAAAAGAACAAATGGTGATCTCTGACTTTTGCACAGTACTATCTGTCTATATTTTACTACTTGAAGCCTAATAATTCTCATAGTTAGCCACTAACTCTGTAATACAGCCCAGTGAAATATGAAACAACTCTGTGTCTCTACAGAAACACAAGTGAGTTTAAGTCTACGATGAGGAAGAACACTTGAACAGTTCACAGCACAGTCAAACCAGAAGCAAGGTGCACACTGTATGTACACCGAACTATAAAGCTCATTAATGGGGTGGTGAAGGTCTAAAGGAAGCTGAGAACAGCTGAAGTGTGTGTGTATATGTGTGGGGCAGGCGTGTACCCTGGGGGCTGTAGCAGTGCTGGGTGTTGCAGCTTTCCACAGTAGGGGGTTTGGGATGGTTGCTGCAGTGCTCCACCCCGTAAAGGTTCCTCTGTGTGTCTGAACAGATCACCTGCCGCTCCCGCAGCCCCGAGCCACAGCTTTTAGAACACTAAAGGAGACAGAGAGAGAGAGAGGAGAGAGAGAGAGAGAGAGAGAGAGAGAGAGAGAGAGAGAGAGAGAGAAAGAAACTTTCACAACATATATAAGATTCACAACATTCATAAGATGGTAAGCATGCACTCCAATCGATTCACTATCTGCACACTGTACTTCGACCATTTAATTCAACTTAAAAAAATACTCTGAATTAGAGTACCAGAAAATTTTGGGTACCAGAACTTTTTCCGAGGGCGCTATTTTTGACCATTTTCAACACAAATTTTCTAGTAAAAATTCACAAATGACACTGTCAAGGGCAAAGTCTACCTAAGGAATAATAGAATTCATTGCCTTGGATGGCTGACCATTCTCTTTTGTCAAGCATTTCATGGCACATATTGCAGCCTACGTGCTGTATTCATTTCACTACATTTATTTTATGTAAATTGTTTCTATTTATTGTCAGCTTTTCTCGGGTTTCAGTTTCCGTTTCAGCCCAGCATGTCCTCAATTTCAGTTTTGGACAGAAACTGCATTTCTGTGTGATAGAATCATTTTTATTTTGATGTGCAAAAGCAAAAATCAGTTCAAATCTCAAAAACACTTCTGCCCTCTTGTACTATTTACAGTATAGTGGGCTTATAATTTGATATTTTAATGATCATTTGAACAAAATGTATCCATAAATGTAGGTTTGTGATTGGTGCTTGCTGATCGAACATTTTACAGTTCAGAAAATGCAGTTACACTGAATGGTATAATTAGCAAGATGACCACTCTGCACAATGCATTATAAACGCCACAATATACACAATTACAATTGTGCAACACAACATCACAATTCACTGTTAGACGCCACTGTTACGACCGAAGGCAAGAACTTTTTTGCTTCTTCTATAACATTGCTGTTTGTAGATAATAAGTGGTTTTGTTAAGACAGCATACAAAACATACATTGTAACAACAATATAGAACAGCATAATATGGTGATAAACTCACCAGACCCCAGTCACCAACATGCCATCCAACAGGAATTCTGCAGGCCGGCATCTCACAGGTTTGTGTGCTGGGGGGCTTCAGCAGGGTCCCACACATGTAGTCCTCCAGACGGTTTCCTCCTGATCCCACACACACCACATCCCTCATCTGCTCCCCAGAGCCACATGGCACAGAGCACTGCACGCAGTCCACAGAGTGCATACCACACACACAGCACATACAAGTATGTACAATTACATACAGCTTAGTTTATTATGTAATAAACTAATAATTCTATGTAATCAATTTCATATGAGCAGCATTATTTGCTCCAGTGACTGGCAGATATTTATTTGAACAAAATAAATTTAAAGGAAATGACCAATTGACCCTACTGATAAAGTCAGGAAGGCCCACAAGCTCCAAACAAAGATGCTATCATGGCTCACTTGAACAGAGACAGGAAATAGGTTATTTAGTCATATTTTTAACTAAGCATAGTGTAAAAAGGCTTTTTGCTGAATTGCAGTAGTCTTTGCACACATCGTTCTTTCTGTTGTCTTGAAGTGGCTATAATATGTGACAGTAACGTATGACGCACAGAGCACAGAGCAGGTTGAAAAGCAGATCATATGGCCATATAAGACGTAGGCGTGGGCAGTTTGATGCTATGGTATGGTCACTGCAACAAATAACATCATATGCTCTTCTGAGCACATCAGTGTTACTGTCAACATCTCTAGAACACTAGCCAACTGTGTGCTTCAAAAAATGAAGTTATGCCGTAACTGTAATCTTGAAAAAAATTAATTAATTAAGAATTGATCAATATATCAAACTGACATTTGATGTATTTATTGTCAATTAGAAGAGCAGAATGTTCAATGCTGGCCTTTTGTAGGACCACACCTGAAGCTCCTCCTCTTTCCAGTATAACATCCTATAAATCTACATCTCTACTTTCTTTTTCTGGGATGAACTTTTTACACGCTACCATTATCTCACTGTCTCCCTGTTTCTTAATCCTATCTCTGTTTTTCAAGGTGGGTACAAGCTGTCCAGAGTTCTCTCCTCTTCTACAATCAGAGTGTTCTCATACTGCTGTGTTGAAGGTGTGGTCTGAACTCAAAAAAATCATTTTAAACCAACTGTACACAGCCTGTGAACAACAACCAGCGGTGTCACAATGGCAAAGTAAAACTGCATATAGTCACAAGGAGCTGACTGGATGCAAGACCATTATGCCATTACTTTGTTTATTTTTTAACAAATTGTTAAACATTTCCTCCTGTTTCTTATTTCAGTGAATAAAAATTAAGATCATTGCAATTTTTTTCAAGTGGTACAAGGGCTACATGATTATCATCGCAACATGACTTCCCACAATGGATGCATCATTAATGGCTATAGTAATGGATCAAATTACATTAATATTAGAGCAGTTCAGCTGCGCTCTCCTGAACCAAGGTCAAACCCTGATCTCTTGTGTTTGCAGCAAGTGATTTAACCACATTGACCACTCTGCTACAAAGTCAATTACAAAGCACACACACACACACACACACACACGTGCACAGGCCAAAAAACTACTCCATCCTTAACTACTAATCTGTAAAAATGCTTTGAAACTGATGACTATTCTCATTCCCAGTGAAACAGTAGTGGCTACTGTCACAATAAACATGCAACAACTTTTTAAGGAGTTAAATTTATCTGTATTATTTTTTAATACCTATATTGAAAAGATCAAGTATCATGACACCTATTTTGTATCCAAGATGTCTTCAAGTATCGCAATGTTACATTTTTGTTATATCGCCCACCCTTAATGAAACAGTGTGTACCTGGCTCCAGGAGGACACGCTGTACTGGGCACAATGCTGCATGTTGCAGTTTTGTTGACCGAGGGGTTTGGAAGCGTAGGTCTCACACAGAGAGTCCTCCACCACCCGCACTCCAGACGCATCATGGGATATGCACTCCACTCGCCGCACCTGAGAGCCACCACCGCATGTCGCTGAACACTGGTTCCACTCACCAATCTTCCAGCTGCCGCACACCAAAACCAATGCAGAGTGAGCACAAGTACAGCTAGTACGGTGAAATCTTAAGGAGGTGAAGTGCAACATGAACTCCAACCCAGACTATGCTAACACATGCAGCTCCCACACATCTACCCCAACAGCAGCACCACGTACAACCTAGTGAGCTTAGCGTCATTTTTATTAGTCAGTTAGTGTCGACAACACAAGGACATTTCTAAATACACAGCATTTCACTCTTAAAAATGAAGGTGTCATAGAAGACGGGAAAGAAGAACCACTTTTGGTTCCCTAAAGAATATTTCAATGGACAATTCTTAGAAGAATCTTTTTTTGCAAATTAGATGATTTACAATTATACGTTATAGAACAATGTTCAATACTAATGAAAGTATGTCAAAGCATTCTAGAACAATGTGAACAAGGTGAATGGCAAAGGATGTTCTAAAACAATGTCAAAGGGGAGACATTCTAGAACAGTGTGAATAGATTGAGTGGTAAAAATGTTCTAGAACAGTGTGCATAGGGGAAAACATTCTAGAACAGGGTGGATAAGGAGATATTCTAGAGCAGTGTGAATGGGGGGCATTCTAGAACAGTGGGCATGGGGGAAAACATTCTACACCCGTGTGAATGGGGGTGAATGAGAAAAGACATTCTAGAACAGTCTGAAGAGGGGGGCATTCTAGAGAAGTGTGAATAAGGTTCCCTTAAGTACCTTTTGATGGATGATTCTCAAAAAGTGTTTTTGCAAATGAGATTATCCACACAATATCAAGGTTCTAAACTAATGCAAGGTTTTTTTTACTAAAACCATACATTCAAGCCAAGAACCATTAGGAGGCTTTATTTTTAAGAGTGCAAGAACAAAAAAAAACAATGTAATTGAGCGTTTTAAAAAATTAGATTATATTTGATGGCCAAGGTTCACGTTCAAAGAATTCATAAACAACACTTTCCCTGTCAGCCGACTGATGAGCCCTTAGGAAGAGAGAAAAAAAATGTACAAATTCAAGATTCAACAAAATAGAAACATGCCCCTGTCAGTAAAAGACAGAATCCATAGTAATTATAAAGCATAGTTTCAGGTTTCTGAGTAAATCACCAACAGCCAAGGTTCCAGGACGTGCCACTGTTGTGGGTGAGAAGTTCTGAGGTTTTGTAGCCAAGCCCCCAGCTTCTGCTTCTCACACAAACAGAGTTTATATACCCCCAGAAAAAAAAAAATAAACCACACCACATCTGAAGGATGAGTGCCAAACAGTGGATTCAGACAAACCTCAGAACCTAAAGTACACAAACAACATCTACAGACAAAAGTAGCCCTACTAGCACTGACACTAACACAGACAGCTCTTCTACAGCACAGACAGCAGCCCAGCTTAGAGCTCTAGAGCTTGGGTTCATGGGTTATGCACAGGGCATGTGTACGTCTTTTAACATGGGAGATTAGTGAAGTGTCTAGTGAAGAGAAACAGCACTCGGGTGCCTCTTTGCTAGGGTGAAATACTGCAGTAAGTGGGAGTAGAAGACCAGACTAAAGCTCTGAGCTGGACAGTTGCCCCAGGCCTTGGTTCATCTCCACATGTGGAAGAACAGGCGTTCACAACACTCATCTACTACACATGGAACTCATCAATACAGACTGAGCTCAAACACATATCACTGGTGTAAGTAAATGACCTTTATGAGTGGACCACTATGTGAATGGTTTATTATAAGAAATTGAGACTTCTAAGAATCCATATATTTTTGAGATCTGGACATGTTGTAAAAGATGTTAAGATATTTTAGTGAGCAACTTTTGAAAATGTGTATGGAGAGGCCAAGGGCTGACCCCAAACTCTTAAAAAATCCTCTGAGAAACTGAGGATGAACTCCAGTTTTCCTAAAATTAGCCCATAAAAAAGCTGCTACATTCTTTGGGAACTTGGGAGTAGGGTAACACTTTGTTTTGATGGTCCACTGTAGATGCTTTGTGGCTGCTCAATTTATTTTTGGACCAAGTCACACTTACTCAACTGTTCCTAACACCAGGATTCTACACTGGACAGTCAGCTCAAATGTTGGGATGCAGTGCAAAATTTAAATAAAAACAGAATGCAATGATGTGCAAATCTTTCAAACCCTATATATAACTGAAAATAGTACAAAGACGAGATATTAAATGTTGAAACTGAGAAATGTTTATATATTTTTTTTTAAATATATGTGCTTTTTGAATTTGATGCCAGCAACACGTTTCAGAAAAGTTGGGACGGAGTAAATAGATTGGTAAAGTGGTGTAATGCTAAAAAAATAAAAAAAAACACTTGGTGAAAGATCTCACAAGTAATTAGGCTAATTGCCAATAGTAAATTTGGGGTTCTCATCATCTATGGCACATAATACACTAAAAGATGTTTTCAAGGGACAAGGCTGAAAACCAATATTGGCTGGCCGTGATCTTCGGGCCCCCAGGCAGCACTGCAAGATTCTGTAGTGAAAATCACTGCATGGGCTCAGGAACACTTCTGAAAACCACTGTCTGTAAACACAGTTAGTCACTGCATCCAATAAATGCAAATTAAAACTCTACCACGCTAAGAAGAAACCATATATAAACAGGATCCAGAAACACTGCCGCCTTCTCTGGGCCTGAGCTCATTTAAGATGGACTGAGGCGAAGTGGAAAAGTGTCCTGTGGGCCGACAAATCAAAATTTGAAATTCTTTTTGGAAATCATGTACACGGCGTACCCCGGGCTAAAGGGGAGAGGGACCGTTCAGCTTTTTATCAGCATACAGTTCAAAAGCCAGCATCTGTGGTGGTACGGGGGTGCATTAGTGCACATGGCATGGGTGACTTGTATATCTCTGGCACCTTTAATGCTGAATGATATATACAGGTTTGGGAGCAACATATACTGCCATCCAGACAATGTCTTTTTCAGGGAAGGCCTTGCTTATTTCAGCAAAACAATGCTAAACTGGCCTGCCTGCATTTTAGACCTGACACCCACTGAAAACATTTGGTGCATTATGAAATAAAAAATATGACAAGGGAGACCCGAACTGGTGAGCAGATGAAATCCTGTATCAAACAAGAATGAGAAAACATTTCACTTTCAAAACTATAGCAGTCGGTCTCCTCAGTTCCCAAACACTTACAGATTGTTGTTAAAAGAAGAGGTGATGCAACAGAGCGGTAAACATGCCCCCGTCCCAACTTTTTTTAAACGTGTTGCTGGCATCAAAATTGAAATTGCCATATATTTTTCAAAAAACAATAAACCTTCTCAGTTTCAACATTTGCTATGTTGTCTTTGTAATATGCTCAACTAAATATAGGGTTTAAATGATTTGACCATCATTACGTTCTGTTCTCATTTACATTACGCACAATGTGCCAACTTTTTTGGAAACAGGGTTATAGTATAAATTGGGGATAATATTTTATATTCCAGTGCCAAAATAGGAAAACAGATACTCTCAACAATCACACACCATTACTTGGATTTGATAGTATTTGCTGGAGAATGTTGGGTCGGTACTCTAGGCTTTTAACTTACATTCAACTAAATATCTAAATCCAAATTACATTCACTCTAGTCTTCACATTATACCAAACCTTAATCTAACACTAAACCTAAACCTAACCCTATCCCTGCTGATAACCAAGTGAATGTCACTAGATTGTTAACAGTCTGAACATTTGTAGAGAAGCTACGAGGGACCATCAAAATAAAATGTGACCGTAAGTTGTAGGCTATGAATATTAGCTTGTGTTTGAGATCACATTCTGCTGCCATCTGCTCCCTCGGACTGGGTTACCTGTACACCTGAACATAGACACGTGTTGGCTCTCTGGGTCTCCACAATTGCGGCTGGTACACATACGCCATCCTTACAGAACAGGAGCAATACACCAAGACTTTTCAGACCCAGCGTTTCCCCACTAATCAGACAACCCAGATCAATAAAAACACAAGTGTGATAATGCTCATGTGGATACTACAGACATTTAAATAATCATAATCATATGACATGACTTATATCATCACAGACCTTCTATAGGCATCCCAACTATAGAAAACAAAGCTTTAATACTTTGAATGCAAACTAAAATGTTTAGTGGTGCAAGGTTTTGATGTTTTTAGGGAATTCTCCTACCTGCGGGTGAGGGGGCACTGTTGCTCATTGCATGTGCGGTTATTGAGAGGTCGAAGCAGGGAAGCACACAAATAGTCAGGGTATGCTTCATTATCAACAGTACAGAAGACCAGACGAGACTGATAACCTGAGAAGATAAAAAATAAACAAGACAATCATTTATTAAAAACCTTAGCAAAGTCATGTCATGAGCTCAATGTTGGTGAAATGGACACATGACACAATGTCATTCATAACAAATGCACGTGACGGCAGGACAGCCAAATCATGCTCAGATATTGTTCAAAACAATCTCTTTACTAGGCACTAGCACGCTCCCAGCTCTTGCCTGGAGGTTTGACACTGACCAGAGCCACATTCCTTGCTGCAGGCAGACCAGGAGCCATAGCTCCAGTAGTAGCCCTCTCTGGAACGACCATTGGGCAGATAATACTCATAGTCCACTCCTTGGTTGGGCTCCTGAGTGATCAGCTGAACAGAGACAAACATGCAGCAGGTTGAACCTTAAAGTGTCATCATTATGGCTAATGATAATAAGCATGATATATATGTTTCTCATTCATAGCTCATTGAAATAAGCAGAGAAACATTTAACTGACACCACATTTATGCTCATAAATTGGAAAATTTAGGCATAGAAAACATTAATCATACCTCAACGACCAGGGGCTCAGTGGTAGGTCCACGGCCAATGATGGTTTCAGGGGTCATCTCCCCCTCTGTTCCTCTCTGATAGTGCAGCATGGTGCCAGCAATGGGAGTAGCACGGGAAAATTCAATCACCCAGTGCCCGTTAAGGTAGTACTCACCACGCAGGTTCTTGATAGCTGTAAAAATTCACATTGAAGGAATATACTGATTCTATCACCACCACCACCACTGTTCCCTACTGCTTTACTACTACTACTAAAAAAACAGCAATTAAAAACCCATAACAATAACAATTAAAATAACAACTTACTGCCCCAGTGCAGCTCATTCTCATACACTCACCCAAGTAGTTGCGAGTAGCTACAGTTTCACTGATGCGGATGCTGGTAGCCCCAACAGGGATGATGAACATTTGATTGTAACCTACAAATCAAGAAAAACATTTGGCTTGTTTGTGTCTTGTCTTGTCAAGTGCCAAATCTCTCATTTTAAACCCAACACTGTGAGGGCTGGACTGAGTGTTACCTTTAGGCAGATCCCGCATGGAGAAAGTGTTCTTGATGGCGTGGCAGGACTGACCGTTCCCTCCACACACCAGGCAAGGGTCCTCCTGCTGTGCAGAGTCCAGCATGCTGTCACAGCCCAGACGCTGTGGGCAGGAAGTGGGCAGGAAAAAGGAATTTAGGATATTTTTGGATATTTTTTGGCATACATTCTTTAGAGCAAAGACTCAGAATGGGGGATTTGTTTGAAGATTATTTCATAACATCTCACAGCTCCCACAAGGAACTTGGCAGTACATAAATCTTTTACATACATTGTTTTTAAAAAGATGTGAAAGAGGAGGTTAAAATAAAACTAAAAGTACCATATTTCATTTTACCGTCTATGAGTTAACAAACTTAAATTATTTCAGAATTTCAGAAATTTATTTCAAAATTTTCTTGTATTTTATTTCCCCCCCATGAAGTCCACTTACGATGTTTGTATAGTTTTATGAACCAAAAACAATCATAATTCATTTTTCCTTGACCATTTTCCTACCTCTCTTCATCCCTTAGAATTACACAAGTCTTTTTGCAACTGTCTTCAAGATGGATGTATGTAAATGATCTCTACTCTGACTGGCTGCCCTGTATTGTGTCCTTCACAAAGCAAACCAGGCTGAAATACTACTCATAAATTCAGGAGAACGAGTGGAGTTAGACAGTAGGAATAGACAGAAAGGGCTCAAGAGATGGATACATTTAAATACATTGTTTTTTGTGACATCACAGAAAGAAATCATTTAAAACAGATTATTCTTACCAAATACCAAGAGAATGGCATTTGAAACCTTAACACTGTTGATACATACTATTGTTTTTTTATGGAAAATGTACTGTTTTTTCATGATATGGGCCCTTTGAATAATGTAAGTATAGAATGTACTACAGCAATAGGAACTTCTGGTCCAGTTCAGTCTATAAGCTAGAAAAAATAGTTCCATTTCAGTTTACCTTTTAGATATTTAGATATTGTAGTAAGTTTGGTGGACAATCATGTGACCAGCAATTACCCAAGACTCAGCTGAGGAAATACACCCACTCTTAAAAATAAATGGTTCTTTGGAGCAACTTCTTGTTCCCTAAGAAATTAATCCACATAATATAAAGGTCCTATATCATTTAATTGAACCAAATGTCTAAGCTGATAACCATTTAGGAAGCTTTATTTTTAAGAGTACAATAAAAGTTAAATAAGTTACTCAATGGATCATTAAAGTGTCTCAGCACCATCACAGGTAGGCTTTAAAGAGATTTAAAAGGCAGCAGGCAAACAGCCACTTCAGTCTGGACTACCATACAAACATAGAGTTGCTGAAACTAGTAAAGCACTGTGTAGTTTGCCACTGATGCTCACCCTGCAGACTCCCTCCACACAGATATCCTTCCTGCCTGGGTGGCAGGGTGTGCCATCCACCACTGAGGAGCGGTGACGATAGTAGAAGTTTTCTCCTCTGGGGATGCAGTTCAGCTCACATGGATCTTCCGCTGTGAAGAGGAGAGCAGATCAGATTCAAAGCAAATGCAAAGAGAAACCACTGCTGTTTATGTCTGGACAGGCAGACCTAAACAAAACAGCCAGCAGTAACTTAGAATAGCAGATTATGTTGCAATGTGGCCTCCGTAGGCCTCTGTTAATCTTGTCACATTCATTTAGTATCAATGCAAATGAGCAATGTCCGGCAGTAATGAATGTCTTTTGGTTCTTGGAAAGCTACAATCTCCTCTGCAAGTTTACACTTTTCAAAGATGTGAAAGACTTCAACAAAACCCAACCTGGCACAATGTTGGGACAATGAAGCATCATGGTGTGAAGGCCATCCAATTAATCTGATTTAAGATGATACAGCTATAGCAAGTAGTTGTAAGTTCACCTTGCTGCCTTAAAATTAAGATTTCACAGCACTTCAGTTTGAGGTGGGCAATGGGGCACAAATACAACATCACAATACTTCAAGATATTTACTCGATACACAATGTGCATCATGGTATTTGTTTTTTTCTGAGGTTGAGTATAAAAATACTCAAAAACTATGAATATAATCATCAGCGCAGTGAAGACAAATGCTCAGAAAAGCTTAATGTGACAGAATATCAATAACAATAACAATAAAGACTCCCATATTGCCCTCACCTAACTTCACACATAATAACTTCACAGAAAGTAACCAATAACACCAATTATTATTCTTTTAATTCACAATCAGAAGTTCAATGAAATCAAATATACAAGCTGGGCAGGTTAACGTTTCAAGTAAAAAACGTTTTTATATTGAAGGTACTGCAAAAATGAATGCACTGAATTTACTCGATTCACGTGTGCATCATTTCCACATGCTTAAAATACAATATGTCAACACAATAGCTGCCAAAACATAAAAATAAAAGATAAAGAAAGTAAACAAAAAGATAAATTTTGTGGTAATGTAATGAACTGTACTGGAAATAAATATATTCGAATTAAGTAAATTCAGCACAGCACACATAAAAATAATTACTCAGTAACTACTATGAAACTAACAAAATGGTCAGTCTTGTTTTATACATACCTCCATAGTAAGGCAGCCACTTGTAAAGTTTTCCATGGAAGTCAGTGCCATCAAACTGAGAGCACTGCTCCTCTCTGAAATCTCTGGACCCCTCAGGGCAGTCCTACAAGGGAATAATCAGAAAGAGAACAGGTTAATGAAAAGATACTAGCATATTTACAGTGAAACAGAAAGATAGAGACGGTGTTGAAAGCCAGCTAAAAACTCACACAACTACAGCGGGCACAGACTTGTCTGCATGTTTCATTTTTTTGCAGATCAGATGGGTCATATGGGTTTAGGGTTATTTAGGATTGTACCTGAATGTTGCAAGAGCGGTACGACTTATCAGGTCCGACACAGTTTTGCCCTCCATCGGTCCTGAAAGCAGCAGAGTTGCATAAAAAAACATTCTGACACTGAATAAATGACAAAAACATAAGCATTGAGTAGAACAGCTGTCAGAATGGTAATCAGTGCTGGGTATTATTAATAAATTTTACAATATTTTCAACATCAGATGGTATTTAAGTTACTCAAGTGTTAATACAGATAATAAACCCGTTCATCTGACATTGTTTTGAGTAGACTAAAGGAAACTTATTACAAATATTAAGCAGACAGAAAACAAAATTCCACATAAGGAAATTTGACATTTATTTAGTTTTTATATACAGGGTGATTCAAAAAGATTAATCCCATTTTCAAAGCGCCATACTTTTACAACTGTGAGGCGCCTAGGAACCAATCACATACCAATTGAAAGAGGGGGTCATAGAGTTTCTGTCACCGGAAAATGGCTCCCTTCCGTCTGCAAGGAGATGGCGACCCCTGAGTAGAAAGCGTTTTGCGTTCTCCACTTCAATAAGAGTGAATCCGTCATAACTGTGCAACGTGATTTTCGTCGGCAGTGAAGCTCCAACAGCTCAGAGTGTTCACTGTCGGTTCCACAACACTGGATGATCTCCGAAATCGCACCGAAAGAGCCGTGAGTACAGTGACACCCGATATGCTCAATCGAGTATGAGATGACTGTGACTATGGTGTTGATGTGGTCTGTACAGCTGCAGGAGGTTCATATTGAGCACTTATAAAATTACATAATAAACTTTATTCTCACTTAAACTATTTACAATTTACTGCATTGTTCTGTAATGATTTACAAGTGAAATGAATCATTTTGAAATCAGATTAATCTTTTTGAATCACTCTGTATTTTAAACTCTTCAAAGCAATCCGAAGTGTCAAGCAAAAGGCATTCATTGTAGTTAGCAGCTGGGTGCTAAATACCATGTGTAAAGTGCACAAAACAGAATTTAGAAAAACTGAAAAACAAACTGTTTTACATGAGCGACTACTTTATCTAAAATCTGTATCACAACTCCACTACTGGTACTGATGATATATCGCCCAGCACTAATGGTAATTGAGACTTTGGATGGTCATTTAAAGTATGGATTGTAGCGATACAAGCGTAACTATGTATTAATCAGCCTTGTGTCTTCATACAACATACTGCACAAGCACACAGCTTGGCACAAGGAATCTGGGTGTGTTAGGGCCTCTCCCTTTAGCTCTGCAGATCAGTTTGATGCCAATTCAGAGAGGTTTCAACAAATTCTTTGCATATTAAAATATAAACATGTCTGGTCAGGAAAGATGACATAACATTAGGCACTCTAGATGACATCAAGGACAAGTAACAGAATGTAACAGCACTAATTACAGCTGTTAGAGTTTCCCATTTCAGAGTAGCAAGTCAGCACAGTGATATTCTTAGACTAATGGTTTGCAGGGTGTGGTGAGTAACACTGAATAGACACAGACACAAAACGTCTCCTGAAAAAGAAAAAACTATGGATCTGGACTATGTCTAGTTGAATCATGTCTGAAAGTTAGGTGCATTTGTGTGCATGTGTGTGGGTGTGAAGTGTGATCTCAGACAGAGTTAGTTTCTTTTGTAAGTTTCAAAATGCCTCTTTTCGGGAATTTCGCCCTATACAATGCCGCAGCTTGTCTGACACGTAATATGTGAACATAATCTTTCTAGCTACAGTGCGTTTTTTTTAGGGCCTGAGGGCCAAAACTTTAAAGACATCATTTAATCAGGTGGGCAGACCAGATGATGACTAGTGCAAAACACGCTTGCATTGACAGTATAAAGATCTGAGGAACTGTTGTATTTTTTATGGATTAACTTCACACTTCCTCCCATTGGTCACAATTTTGTGGTTACCCACAATCACGTACACAGTTTTCTTCTAAGAGGACAGTTGCACCACGATTAAATTCATATTGAACACATATTTATACTTTGTTACCACACTGATAGTACAAAAACATAACAGAACATTTCAGAATGTTCAAGGAACCCTGCACTCGAACAGCGGGTGCAAGGTTGACAGACACAACGTCTCCTTTTTGGAAGCACTGCTCACATCATCAGGTGCAAGAGAGAACATGCAAGCCGGATTCCAACTCAGGCAAGATTTATGGACACAACGCTAAGCTGGTGAGGATTCTCTTGAGCCAGCCTACTCATACAAGCTTACACTTTTAGAAGCACACAGTTAGAGGCTACAGCATGATCCCCTCACTTATAACTATTCACCACCTGATCTACAGTGAACGGAGAAAGCCATAAGATGCCAACACAGCTACACTGACAATGTAGACTGTCAATATGTCACTGGAACCTCTTGAGCTTCAAATGAATGTTATTTTAAATATTGAAGAGCCTGACTGATATATCAGTTGGACGATAATATCAGTCAACATCAGCATGGTATTATTATCAGCAAAAATGTAACTGATATTATCACTGATGATTAGCAACTTTTCCTAACTTGCCATCTATCAATGATTGAGATCCTTTAACATTTACGCCAATCTCTTTGTGATAAGGCAGGATGAAATGATGAACATCACAATGTTGAGTATTACAAAAATATGTAAAATGTGTCCAAATATACCCTTTAGCCTGATAATAACAGGTTATAACCTACACATTGATTATTCATATCAGTAAAGCACAGTTTATAAAACTAAAACTTTCAGAGCATAAAAAATAAAATGTAAACTATAAATATAAAATTAGATGGACTGATATTATTAATTATTGGCCTCTAAAATTGGCATCAGGCTCAAAATATTCCTATCAGTCACACCCTATTCTAGAATGCAGGGGAAAGCTTAGGCTTCTCATCTCCTTTCTCTGAAAGGACAGCAGTAAACAGCAAAGGACACTCAAGCTTTTAACTTAGGGCTTGACTGGGAAACACCTGCTTTTATCATAAAGCCAGAATGTAAGTTCAGCAGACAGTTTTCAATGGTGATTTTAATAGAGTCGGCAATTACTAGTGTTTTGCTTGTTTGCTTGTAAAGCTAACACAATGCTGGATGCACAAGTAGGGATTTGACTTCAGGACATTTTTTCAGGTTACTTGAATGAGAAGAATGTTTAGGAGAAAGAATCTCTGGTCTGGTCACCTGACTGAAGTCTGCAAAGACATTCCCCTTGGGCAAAAGAATGGACTTACTGTAAAGGACTATGTCAGAGCAGCTGAATCATTGTATGGTGTGTACTGGACCCAGATTCAAAACTATTACCCATTTCAAAAAGAATTTGAACTGTTTAACAATTCTCAGCCTGAGGCTACACTGACACACCCAGACAGGATGATGCCCAATTAAGTGAGCTGCCTGCTTACCGCTGAGTCACACACCGCCTCGTCCTCACGGTTACCCCGCTGCCACACGTGCGGCTGCACTCTCCATATGGTCCCCATTCCTCCCAGTAATCACCACTGGGCAGCTGAAAATACAACACACACACTTTAGTCTATTTGGACAGCAGCAAATTGTATTAGCTGTAACTTGATACTTTAAGAACCCAACCCAGTCGCTCTTTTGTGGCTGAATGAACAGCGCAGGAAAAAACACAGTGTTCACTATGCATTTACTGCACACATGTACATACATAGTTATATACATGTATATTGTTGCTGTCCATGTATCTTCATGTTTATTTTTCCACATTCACAGTCCACATTCATATTGTATTGTGTCAAAATTTTTGTGATGAATAAACCAATGAAAAAAATCTCAAAAATGACTTAATAATAAAATCTTTTCAGATTAACTTGCAATAGAAGTTAGGAGGGTTTTTGCCTTCTCCTGTAAAGTTATCATTTTGGAGACACTTCTTTTTCAGACAGCAACAACATCACGATTGTTAATCCTGTGAATCTTACAGCTGATTTAACTTACTTATTTAATGTAAACAAGAAAGCAGCAAGTCAGTATTCCACAGAGCTGAGAAAGACTTGCTCACACATGAGTAGTCCAACTTGAGCCACACTACAGTCCTGGGATTAGCCAGGCAGAAAGTACAAGATGTCACAGTGGTTTCTATATAAAGCCATGTCTCACTCATTAATTTAAACCTTTTGTCCACAGGCGTGTACCAGAGGTAGATAGTAGTTACATTTAAATACATTTACTCTAATTTACTTTAATTACATTTACTCTACATTTATCGACATTTTATCAACATTTTGATGGATACGTACTTTGAGTATTTTCCAATGACAACAACTTAACTTCTTTTACTACTCCAGTATCTTTATGATGAAAATAATCTACTTTTTTACTTACATTTTAGTCATTAACAATTAGTTACTAATTCACTTAGTTATCTATATATACATTACAGGTCAGTTTCCCAGACAGTGATTAAGCCTAATCCTGCGTTACATAACACTCTGAAAGGAGATTCTTCACTGAAAAAATGCAGTCCAAGACTAGACCTGAAAAGAGTAGGGAACTGACCCTAAATGGTTCATTTTATCCATTATAAATCATAATTAAATTTAACCTTAAATTTTACTTAAAACTAGGAATGCATCCAAACACCAAAGAACAGAGCCCTCAGTTTCTACACTAACACACACTGCAGTTCTTGACCTGCTCAAATTCATCAACTCAAGTTCTTTTTAAGGGGGTAATTACATCTACTTGAGTGACTATTTCACCACAGTAACAATACGTGTGTATAAACTACTCCACCCACCTGTAGTTCATATACATACCACAAAACAGCATGTATTTAGAAAATTAGAGTATTAGTCAAAAACGCTAACAGGATTAATGTCATGTCACACTTAATCCCAGAACATATACTAATCAACATCCATTTGCCCCCAGCTACACTGCCTATCTTTACTTTATCTAAAACATCTGGCTGGCTCGGCACTGCAACATGACTGTTACCTTAGTTTATCCTTTTTGTTCACTCACTCCACTCACCGTAAAGACAGAGGCCAGGACTAACTGCAGGGAGGCCACGACCAACAGCAGCTTCATTGTTCACTTCAGGACACAGCTGATTCCTATTTAGGATGTACCACTGAGGGAATGCACCTTTGTTGAATGCAAATATAGATTAGAACAAGCATCCAGAGTTAGACGTGCTCTTACTGGTACTCAATAAGACTGTTTTCAATTGGTTAGTGAGTACGAGTATAAATGCTTGGCCTTATAAATAAAATATGCTGATATGTATTGATTCTGTACACTGTGAACACTAATGTGAGAAATTATACACACTACCAGCTGTTATCGTATGAAACATGCTGTACTACTCATTGTTTTCTTAAATTCCAAAAAAGTCTAACATCCACAAAGGAAACCACTGTAAAAGACCACAATAACAAACAAACCAAATGGTGATGTACTATGGCTGTGCACTTGAGTGGCAGCTTTACCTGAGTGTTTCCGCTGTGGTTTAGGTAGTCACGCAGTCTACAACCTGAAAAAAGGGGGAAAAAAATCATTTAAGAAGTGAGCATTAGCTGGTTCTTAATTTGGATAAACCACAAAAATTCCATGCACTCCATATCCCAAGAGGAAGCAGCATCCCTGGAGGCAAACACAATCAGTATGAAACCACCCGTCATGGGAAAGAGCAATGAGCCATCTCCTTGAGCGCTTTGTGCTGGGCTGCCCAAACACGAGCCCTGTTCTCTTGAAAAGATGTAATTGCTTAATTGAGATATTTATAATGCTCTCCAGGCGAATGCAGATGGAGAACTGGCTGTTTGTTTTTACTGGCTGTTATGAGGACGGCAGGGGGCTTACTGCCCTGTGAACCGGAATAGAAATCCACTACTGCCAAGCCTGATGAGCATAAAGCTTTAGGATGCTGAGTCCTCATGCCTGTGGTCAACTGTAAGCAACAACCTCCAACTGTGATTTGGGAGTACGTCAGGATGACAGCTGCTCCGAAAGTAGCCTGCTGCCTCCTATGTTGTTCCAATTGATCTAACTTCTCATAATCGCATCCACTTGAGGCTTGTTATCAGTGTCAGTGCCTCTGTGAGTCTATTGTGGGGACGCTATGATTGGAGTGACGGGTAACCAGCAATTCAAAACACAACATCTCAGCACAGGCAGGGCACGTGACTGAACTAGACTGCTCGCTTGGTCACTGACACTTAGGAGAAACAAAAAACATGCCAAGACACATACGCAGCAAAAACGCTTCCAAAATAAAGTTTTGGAGAGGCACACAGACTGCGGCTGCTGCCAGTTGGTGCATGCTGCCACCTGTAAGCGTTATTACACAAAGCAGGTTTAATCTGGAGGCGCACTCCACTCATACTTGGATTACTACCTGGACGGGAAAGAATTCTGAATAGGAATACAAACTGTTAATGGGTATGGTAGATATTACATAATAGAGCATAACACTAACTGCAATTATACATCATCTGATACTCCACAGGACTGTTTTGTACTGGTCTCAGTATATGTACATATTCTATTTTAATCTTAAAAAGATGCATGTTACAGAAGTTAAAGATGCCGATATGAATTCATTCGGCACACCCTGAACTCTAATGTGAGAAACTACTCACACCCCACCAACTGTTATAAAACATAGCATCACTGTTCAAAGAAAAAAAACATGCATTGATTTTTTTTTTCCAATTTTAATTTTCTAAACGCTTTTTGAGCACAGAAGCTGAATGACATAGATATCGCTGCTGTTAGAACAAAACCTTGTGTCTCCATTTTTGACATTTTTCAGTTTTTAACATAATTTAAAACTGTCTGTAGTCCTTTATATTGTATGTAAATTTCATGATGCATGGACCAAAAGAAACCACCCAAAATTACTTGGAAAAAAGTCTGGTTCCATTGACTTACATTAAAAGTAAAGCAGGTTTTTTCCTTCTCCTGTAAAGTTCTAATTTTGGAGATAGGAAGTTTTGTTCCGACAGCAGTGATATGCTCTAAAATTATTTGGAATAGCATCCATTTACACTAACATACATTAGAAGTTCTCAAGAAAGCTGCCATTTTCGAGCAGAGGTGGGCAAAAATATAACATTTTATACATACTTCAAGACATTTTCACATTACATGATGTCACAATATAGAAAAAAAGAAGAAATAGTGCTACATTACTCAAAAACTGTGATTATAGTTATTCTTATTCAGTATTTGGCAAAGTGAGTTGCACTACATCCAGTTAACTTGGACTAATTTTGCTCTCTTCATGATGAAATATACAAGATACTGTTCAGAACAGCATTTTGTACTGTATTACACCATAACTCATCACAATAACAATATATATTGTCATACTGTCCATTCCTAATCTGGAGCTACTTTTTGGGGAGGAGGGCTGGTTCGTTTGTTTATTTATTTATTTATTTACTGGACAGTGACGACATGCTGCACTACTGCTTGTTTTCCTGGACTCCTAGGAGACACTAGGAGTCACTTCACTACCAGGCAGGAAGGAACGCACTGCAAATAGCCACAACAACAAATCGCTAAATGGGAATTTGCTCTGAGCTTCGTGTTTCACAGCCTGTCAGCAGAGAGAGGCTCCGTGCTGTGCAGGTATGGGGTGGCGTGTAAGACATGCGCCCTGAAACAAAGTGTCAGAAACGGAATTCTGGACCCAAACAAATGTCACGATTAGCACAACATACTGTACTCGACTTCGAGTTAATCCTTCCCCACTTTATACGCCCTATTTTAACGCGTAACGTCTGAAATACCTACACTTTCAGAGCGTGTAATGAAATATCGAACACAGTCAATGATAAAAAGCGAGAAAAACCTAAAACCTCCTCACCAAACGATGTAATACTGCAACCGTTTAGTACAGAACTGTGCATAGGTACCCTGCCCAAAAAAATAAACCCATAGAAACCATTAACCATCTATCCATCTACCCACCTATAAGCAGTGGAGTATCTCGATGTAATACTACAACCGTTTGTAGGCAAAGTACTCTCTGAGTTTGGCAGCTGGGAGAGCGAAGCCTGAAAGCCTGAAGCAGAAGTTGAAACTGATTGAGCAGCTAAACTCACCCGCTGCGGATCAGTGAAGTGAAGTGCTCCAGCTTTCAGCGGCGGCTCAGCGGAGGCTGTGGAGGTGAGCCGGGCTGTAGAGCTGCTGCTGCTGAACTCTGCTGTGGAGTTGATGGGGATGTTTAAGTGCCCCTCTCTCACAGACACGCTGCTGGAGGAAGCAGCCTGTTAAAGGTGCACTGCGCCAAACCGCAGGCAAGCCCACCCCAGCACCAAAGGCATTATGGGTAATTACCCTCAAGGTGTAATTTTCCAGGGAAAAAAAGAACCGTTCAGGACGCGAGTTCTCCTTTTTATGTAATAAATATCAGAGAACTGTATGCTCACTAACTTTAGCCCTTTAAGGCACAAAATGCAGGTTTCAAACACAGCATTCAATTTGAAACTATATTTAAGTGTCTATGAAGTTTATGAGTGAACATGAAGACTGTTAAAGGTTGAATGTTTTGTTTGATGTTTGAACTGTAGGTCAAGTTTCTCTTGAACTCAGCTCTCAAACTTGTGCATTTGTTGTCACTGTCAGAAAGGTTTGTATTTCCATTTTTTTTTTTCGCTTAATAATTTGACAATCTCAGCTGCCTTTCACACTGTGTGAAGAAATGGACCAATAGAAATAGTCCAAACTTATTTAACATAAAATCTCTTTGCACCTGAGAAAACTGTGCTTAAAAAGCCTTTTATCTGGGCAGTGAGCATTTATTTCCCCAGAAAACAATAATGAATACAAATAATATTAATACTCTAAGTAGTGATTTTATGTATGCCAGTGTGTTTCACCATTTCCAAACCTCAAGGAAGGACAGTATTATTTGTCGATTTGTGTAGATGATCCAATCTGGTTAAATCTGTTAAATCATGCTGGTGGTGGATTTGAGCAAAAGTACACCATGGCTGGGAGTGTCCAAGTGTCCAACTGAAGTCGTTGTTTGTTCTTCTAACTAGGTCACAAGATCTCAACTACTTCTTTGAAGAAAAAAAAATCATATTACTCTTTACTGGATTAATGTGTGTTTGAATTTAATGTTAAATAGTGTTTTACAAGCAGGCATACACTCACAGCTGAGATAAATGGTTTTAAATAATTTGATTAGGGCGTAATTCTTTTGCACAGTACTGAACTGTGCATAGGTACCCTGCCCAAAAAAATAAACCCATGGAAACCATTAACCATCTATCCATCTACCCACCTATAAGGAGTGGAGTGTCTCAGAAGTTCTGAACTGAATGTTTATACAGTGAGAATGAGCCCAGCCCTCTAAAAAAACTGGAAAATGTTACAGTAAAAAGTGTTTCAAACAAGAAAATGCCATAATCTTTTATTATTTTACATCTGGTATGCAATAACACATGCTAACACAAACATATACACCAAGACTTTATTGCACAAAACATACAGAGATAAGCTAGCAGACTTTTTTTAAAGGAAAAACCACTGAAGCCACAATGAGGGCTCTGAAAAGGAAACTACCACTATGCGCTTCCGAAAATGGCTTGCTCTCCCTGCGTTTAGGAGATGTGGGTAACACAGAGATTCCAACTATAGCTCCCTTTTGGAAGAAACACCAAAACAAATTGTAATAAAGGAAAGGCTAGTGGTAAACGGAAACATGAATTTCTAAGCAATCATCCCACTTCAAGTTTGGTTGCACCAGTAGAATTGCTGTGGTCCAGTTGTGTTCTATAGTCAGGGTTTTGAGGGGCCCCTCAGTGACTGCTCTTAGAGGTGGGTCTCTTGGTCTCTTGTGGGAGATATTCATTTCTGTGTGCCTCTAAAAATGTCACTGGTCAAATGAAAAGAAAACAGGATGAGGCTTTGTTTGGACTCCAAAAAACACCATTGCAGAGGTCTTTGGCCCCCAGACATTGCTTCCTGGAGAACGTGCCGTTGTTCATGGTGGAAAGGTGACTCCTGGGTATTAGATATTTATGTTGATGTGTGGCGAGTGAAAGGAGGTGTGACGTGGGTGCTGTCTTAAACGGATCTGAAACGTGTTTGGCTGACATCCATGGGATCCCTCTTAAGCCTTCTGCAATGTCTCTTGTGCAGAGGCCACATCAACCTCACATGTAGACTCTCCCTAAGCGACGTAAGGTGGTAGCCACTTTAAGCCCGATTAGATAATCCTCTGTTGATTACGTTGGCAGACTCTGTCATGTGCACATGTACACGCCTCTCAAGAACATTCAGCAGGTGTGAATCACCATTAATGCGTTGTCATATCCAATAAAAGTTTGCAGTGGGCGAATGGCGAAAGGCCACTTAGCTTAAGGTATTTGGTCCTTGTCACAATACTAGTACCAATCTATTCTGTTACAGTCATATGTAGAGCATATGATGCCTGACACTGATTCATTCGTGCCCCTTCAGCCAGGCCCCTTTACAGCCATTATACAAGACTTGCCCATATGTAAGCTCCAGTTTGCTGGCTCATTCATTACACCTAACCAGAGCTTTAAATAGAAAGCTAAAGTACAGCGTGTACATCAACATTAGAATTACCTTAACTTTACATTATAACCATGGTTTGCCAAAAATGGCCATTATATAGACATACACATAATCAGACTGTATGTAATATATACATTACAAGGCGTCCACATCCACGTACCACCCAGGTGGATGGATTTTAAACCCAAACCTATGTATGAAAACTTTTTGGTCCCACCTCCCTACCCTTTTAAGTCCCCAGTCTTCACCAGAACAAACAGCCGCACAAGACTATTAAACCTCCTTCCAGCATTTGTCCTTTCAAAGCTGTCGGCTAAGTTTCTGGGCTTGCCTCTCCTTAGCGTCGAAGGCGTACTTGGTGTCCTGCAGCTGCTCAATGATCTCCTTGGCCTCCTTCATGTCCAGGGCTAGCTGGTTGTACTTTTCTGTCAGCTCTTGGTTCTCCCTCCGGAGCTCCACCACCAGCTGGCTCAGCTCCTCACTCTGCCGGCCACAGTGGTGCTTCAGCTGCTCCATCTCGGACAGCGTCACTTCCATGCGCTTCACCAGGCCCTCCAGCTTGTCCTTGGACATGGCTTCTGGTTTAGAGCCGAGCTTCAGGTCCTGATGGAGGAGATGTGAACAGCAGAGGTGTGCTATTGAGAGTGCCTGCAGACTGTGTCCTGAGCGAGTACTTAGAGACTAATCCTTGATTGCTTGCCCGTCTCACATGGGATGGGACACCCGCTCCCCTCCCCCATCGCCTCTTTCACTTTCTGTAATCCCCTTAGAAGGGCTATCCTTGGCTGTGCCCTGTGTAGATTGTGGCTGGTTGACAGTGGTCAAGGGACAGTGGATCCTGACATGCCTACAGGGTTGAAGGACTGGAAGATTAGCTTGTTTTATCATCTCCTACGGCTCTGAATAAGCACTAACCAAAGACGGAATCAAGCAGAGTGCAGGTTCAGAATTATTTTATGCATGTAAGTGGAATTACGTTACATGCATTATCCACATTAGTAAAAAGTAAGTGTACTTGGTAAGAGATAGCTTAATACCTTTAAAAGTATATAAGCAAGATTAATACTTTTATAAACAAGAAAACTTCACATTTTTGCTATAAACAAAAAAATGTAGTTGTAAAAGTAATTAAAAGTTTTGATAAATTGATGCAAGATAAGTAAGATAGTAAGATAATTTTATGTTGCTTGAACCAAACAAGCTTTCCAACCTAAATACACTAATATAAATATGAGAGGAAATTAGAACAATACATTTTAATTGTGGTTTATTTACGTTACCTATAGCACGTTTGATGTATCTGTGCATAAAAATGTCCAAAAAATGAACTGTTGTTGTGTTTATATGGGGGATTTAGAGTTCTCTCATTAGAGGCTTAGTTGTACAATGTGTTAAAACTCCACGTGTGGAGGCTGTATTTTAGCCTGGGTAGCTCTCGCTGCAAGTAGTTTGCATGATTCAAAATGGTGCAATGTTACAGCCACCAAGACAGCTACTAAAACAATATAGGTGTGACCTACACACAGTTAAGTTATCCAAAAACATTTATGATGAAAGATGTTAGTCTTTAGGGTGAATCTCAAGAAATATATGTCCTACTGATGTCACAATTTGCATATAATGTTGCTATGGGAATACAAGAAAAGACTAAAAGTGTGTTTTACTTGTTACCCACGTCAAGTCTGTGCCTTACTTTCCTCTACACACCATAAATATTAGATGGGAAATGTCTAGAACAAAAAAACATGCAAAAAGCCTAATAAAGTTTACATATTCACAGTTTGGAAAGCTAAAAGTACAGAATATTTGATAGATCAGATGGGATATGACGATACAGATGCAATGTGCAAAGGCTGCCATTAGTGTGGTTAGTGAACAGGGCAGATGAGGTCAGCTGGTCCTATTTAAGCCAAGGTTAATTCAGTTTAGCTCAGAGCTAAACTCGAACTGAATTAGCTTAGGAAGGTATATATACAAAAAGCAAAGGAGTAGTCTCATTAGGTCCTATATGCAATGCTCAAATGGGGCGTTTCTTGAACTTTTATTTGATTTTGCAAAAAAATTACAGCTTGCAGGTGAAGTACTGAAGCGTAATAAAAGTCCCCTAAACAAAGGCCCAGCATGAAGCTGAACACCACAGCACAATCACAATGGACAGTCATCATCCCTGCCTGCCTGGCCAGGCAGCCCCCATGGTGACCGCTAATGCCCTCACAACTCCAGGCAACATGCCAGTTTCACTCTTAACAGAGCTCCTCACAAAATGCCAGGGCAGCAGTTTCCAAGGAATTCCCTTAGTGTTCCCATCATCTGCCAGGCTTTTTAAGTCAAAAACAATGGACTCTTCAGTAACATAACCAAATACAATGCATGGGATGAAGCCTCAGCCTGTATGTATCTAAGTGTGTATGTATGTAAGTGGGCTGATATAGGACCAGGTTTGTCAATCATGCTAACAAGCATGATTATAGACAGACTCACGCTCATCCAAGACCAGCACACTTTCACTGGAAGGATGATGAAACCTATACAAGAAATAAGTGGCTCTGTGAACGTTCTAGTATCGGTTCCCCTGTACACCTAACGTTATTCATTGTAAGACATTTCTGTGATAAGAGCAGGTACACTAATGAAGTCAGAGAGGTAGAGTAAAATTATTCACTTACTGAGGAATGTCAATAATGGCTACTTACCTCAGAAAAACTAATACACAGGAGGGAGAAGTTTGCTCAAATGAGCTTCCCCTTTATTCAAGAATCTTTCAAGTTGGTTACAAACCAATTACAAAAACAATCAAGATACTGTTCTGCTTTTTCGTAGAAAAAAGAAAAGACATGTTGAAATGAACAAACCTCGAGAGGTATTAACTACAAAAGGAAAAGACAATCACAGAATATAATGCTAATAAACAGAAGAAAAAAAAAAAAGTCACAGCATGACATGTAATCTCCCACACAAACTTTGGTGAAGTGGCATCAAAATCTGGAAAACTTTATGCAGGACACATTTCAAAATGATGAACTCAGCCTTTCTTCAAGAGAAAAACAGCAGCTTCCATCATCAGTCCTTTAAATTGTAATGCAAAATGAAGCAATACGTCATTATATGGTGTCTCACCACACAAGCATGATTGGTCTGTCATTGTTTAAAATAACACTCCAAAGCCAAGAAATCTTCGTATCTCCATTTTTGTTATTTTTCAGTGTTTCACATAATTTCAAAATACCTGTTGCCCTTAACATTGTGTGTAAATTTCATGAAGAATGGACCAAAAGAAACGACCCATGGTTCCACTGATTTACATTAAAAGTAAAGTACGTTTTTTCCTTTTGGAGATACAAGGTTTTCTTCAGACAACAGCAAAATTATATATATATATATATATATATATATATATATATATATATATATATATATATATATATATATATATATAATATATATATATATATAAAAATGTATATATATTTATATATATATATTCAAAAAACAAATACCACCTTATTCAGTTCCAACCATTCAGTCAAAGTCAGTTACAAATAACAGGTCGCTAATTTAATGCATTGTATATTTAATCGGGAACTTTCAGAATGCCTAGAGTAGATCCATTCAGTGCAGGAGAGTTCATCACACAGAAATAAGTAATGCAGGTTTTCCTCATCCAGTTATAAAACAGTTCACTGACACAAGTTAAAAGCCTTAAACAGTAAATGTGACATTTTGGTGATGAATCGAGGTTTGCCGAGTTATTAAAATTCTCCACTTTTCATGATTTTCACCTCAAATGATTCCTACATAACATAAATGCCAGTGTTCATCTGTTGGAACATTGGAAGGGCAATCCAATTACAAAGATCTTTCAATGAAATCACACTTGGAGGTAAGGAATGAATAGCAGGAGGCCTCCACTCCAAACAGAACAATAAAAATAAAAACAGAGTCCAGCCACGCATCTAGCACAAAGGAACCAGAGGAGTGCCGCTGTGCCTTTGCCTCCTGAGAGTCAGGGTCCTCAGTGGTGCAGCCAGAGCGTGGAGCGTAGGTTAAAGAACATTGCCTTCTGCTATATGTAGAATTGGTGATTTGCTAGCTGGTCCATAAATGGGCGCACAAGATTATCTGTGGCAAAGTAGAAGATTAGGCCGAAGGTAATGGAGATGGGCAGAGCTGGGAGGGCCTTCTTAAAGATGGCTAAGAGCAGGAGGGTTAGACACAAGCCCTGAAGAACAGAGACACACATGAGGGGAAGGACAATGCCCTTGGAAACATAAAGGCACTATAAACAAGACATTACCATCATGAACAACAACAAGGTTGTGGGGCAGGGATCAAAGTGATCATTATGACGTGAATGAACTGCTCCAAACTGTTATCATTATTGTTTACAATCCTAAAACCACTAGGTTGCCACCAAATGGTCACACCTTAAACTCACAGAACACAGTTGTGCCTAGCTGGGCATGCATGCCCTGCAAAACCACTGACCAATTTTTGCAACTAACTGAATTACAATGACCACCTGTTTATTTTAGTGTATTTTTACATCCTCTTTGGTCTTGTTTTCCAAAATGTTTCATGCCAAAAGTGATCATTTAAAGCATTCATGTTCACTTGGGGAAATTCAAAAATTATTATGTGATCCGTGAGATGGTGTGCAAGCATGATCTCTCTCACTTCTCACTATCGATTCTTACCCTAGGTGTTTGGCGACTCATTTATACCTTCACTATTTAACCTGGCTCTATAAGAAATGCTAAGATTCAGTCTGCTCAAGGGAATAAAAGTACTGTAGAAACATCTTATACTCTCATAAGGCCTTCAGGCAAAACAGTCCCAGACAAAATGGTCTTGGATGATAAAATTTGTTTGCAATTATGTTCTTTCTCACTAGATTAATTATGGTTTTGTGACCAAATTGAAGACTACAACTTTTACTGAACTCTTGAAAATGTGTTGCAATTCATGCATTGTAATTATCAATGTTATTATTACTGTTACTGTGTGCTTAAATGCTTTGTGGAATTTTAAAAAGAAAAGATAAAGCAAAGAAAAAAAAAGGATGTTGTGTAAGCAAACATTCTGTGCCTTCATGCAGACCCTTTTTATATGTTTGGGGACATTGATACTTAGTCTCTGTTGTTACTGTGTGATTATTACATTCTTGGCTAAACAATAAATTTGGTCAAAGGACTGGTTCTGCTGTGATTAAGCCCAACATTATTGTTAATATGTCAGCTAAGATGTTAAAGCTTGCTGATGTCAATTCACTAAAGAAATCATCCATTTACAAAGTGCAGATTTACTGGGCTAAAACTCAAACTTCTTACATGAACCAAATGTTGGTCACACAGATGCTCTTGCAGTTAGTATTTCTTTCATTATTCTGGGCTTGTTGGTTGACTAACCAGAACCATGTCTAAGCACTACATTTTCACCTCATACTGATCCATACAAACAGTAACTTATCCAATTAAAAAAAGAAATCTTTCCTAAAACAGTGAATACATGTTGCCTTCCCATAATTTTTCTCAGCTTCCAATTAATTTACAAATGCCCTTGTTTCTGTGAAGTATGATAAATAAAAAAAACTCGACAATAACAATAATAAGCCGTACTAAAAGCTATAATACTTATCTTTTATGAAAGAAGAGTCTAAGACAAATAATGTGCATGTGTTTGTGACCTGGTTGGCTGAGCTATAACAGATGTTCTCAGATTACATATTATGAATGTCACCAATGAATGCTGTTGGTCACTTACAATAAGAATGGCCACAAAGCAGGCCAGTGTTGTGTTCCAGTCACCGCTGGCTGTGGCTGAGGCCTTTCCCACCAGCATACTGTAGAAGATAAAGTCTCCAAGACCCAGCTTCACACCCCCTGCAAAACACACATGCACCAGAACACTCACTCTCACTGTACTCTGTGTACGATGTTAGGCTTTAATTACCAAGCAAACCTCATTCTCTATCCCAGTATTTGGTGTGGCAGAACTGGGTGGGGATCTGTTCCTTTAGATTAAAGCCCAGTACAAAAAAATTCCACAAAAGATGATTGCCCAACCTTCTCTTTTATAAGGTCCTTTGATCTCCAGCATGGAAACACAGACATGTGTTCGTATAAAAAAAAACACTAAAGGAAAACTTTAAGGAAGACAGCAGTCATATTCATCTTCAGCCCTGTGGGATATTGGGCGTATTGTAGACATGTGAGCATTTCACTGTTTACAACCATATGTATAAATCATTTAGGATTTTAACCTAAAGAGGCACAGCTACTCATTGAACTTGGTTGGAAAATTTCACATGAGGCTGCAGCACTCTGAAGCAATCTATGAAGTTTCTGTCACTTCTTGGTACTACATGTGGCATTTGGTTTTGGCATCTACCAAGAAAAACAGCCTTAAATCACAACAGTATTTACAGCAGCATCCTAATAGCTGGGTAAGCCTGGTTAAATGTTTACTAAATAGTTACTTTCCATCATAAAATTTTAGCTAATTTTAAGAGACTTTAGAAACCCAGTGTGGTGGCAAAGTAATAACTGACAGCACAATCGTAGCTATGCTCTTTCTTGGGGTGGCAAGGTGGAAGAGTTGAGAAAGGAGGGTGCCATGTTGAACAAAATGTTTCTCTTCCATTGAAACTGCATCTTGATATATTTCCGCTGAACAGATCATTTGTGTTGAGATATTTAGTTGTAATTTTTTATCTCCCTCATTATTGCCTACCATCCTGCTGTCTTTGTTTTCAGTGTCTGTGTCCTCAGAGCTGTCCTCATGTGTTTCACTTCGTTTGCAGTAACTTCCTCATCTGTCAAACTCTGCCCCTCGTCTTGGCCACTTTACTTTTGGTCTTTGGAGTCTGACGCTCACTGCTTGATTTTAAAAAAAGGTAAGTGAGTGTAACCAAGGCTGAACTAATAGTGAGCTCTTTCTTCTACTGTTTTTTGTTTACCTATTTCTTGCTGGTTCTTGAGTGCTTTAGCATGACAGCCAGGTTTCCTTGATATGCAGTACACATTCCATTATACACATATAGATATACACATTCCGAATATTTTTGCTATTCTAGGTTGAGGCTTAATAGGCAGTAGTTAAGCTTTTTTGAGGCTTTTTATTATATATATATATAAAAAAAAAAATATATATATATAAAATAATAATAATAATTTCACTACCACAAAAATTTGCAGCAAGCAGAGAAACACATCTGAAAACGTTTTATCATTCAGAAAAGCTGTTTTCAGCTTGGATGAGTAACGGAGGCTGCCTCTTCAGACGAACTGAGACTACACTGGAAGCTGATGAGGTCTCACACACGGTATTTTCTCCTCAGTGGACGATTGGTCAACATGTTAAATTGCCAGAGAAACATATTTCTACTGTTTCTGGACCTAGCTAACACCAGCTAGGCTAGTTAGCAATAAAGTAATACCACATCTGCCTTCTCAATCATGCCCTTCGCAACACACTCATGTTTAGGTTTCGGAGTGGCACAGTGTAATATACCTACTTACAAATGAGCAAAATCATTACATATTACGTTTCTGTTAAAATATAAAAGAGTCATTTAACTGAATTGCTAGTCTGTACGATTTCTCCATCTTTCTGCCAAGAAACGTAACGAAGTGATTTCAGTTTCTGAATATTGGCATCTCGAACGGTTAACTGAGTACTCCAGTAATTGAGCACATCCCTATCACGCAGCGATGTGTTCTGTACTAGACCTCAAATCTGCTTACCAAATACTATAACTTATTCTGTTACTTATATCCATGTCAGTATATTAACATCTACCAGAATTCTGCTGAAAAAAATATATATTTTTTTAATGTATACTTCAATATACTTTTAATTATTTACTTTTGGGCATGTTTGTGGGCCCCATAGGCTTTTGCTCTGATTGACGGGGATAAGAAGAAAGAATGCCATGTACATCTGCAACAATCACCACAATAAGTATATCATCATATACATAAAAGAGCGCGAAAAAATGGCTCTGGTTAATTGTCATTCTAGAACCTCCACTGTCTAAGAACATCATTTCAAATATCCAGGGGAGATTTATGTCTTCATGCACAATTTTTTCTTACTGTGCTCAGATCAACATTCAGTTTCAGTAGATAACATGAAGACAGAATACAGCTCATGGTCGATGTACCCGTAACACGGTGGGAAAGTACTCAGACTTCAGGGTGTTGAAAATTTGTCACTGAAACAGCCCTGATGGTGTGTTAGGCTCTCAATCCAGCTCTCAGGGAAGCTCAGCCAGCCAGCCAGCACAATGCTAACACACCTGAACCGGGTAATCAAGAGTTTTGCGGCCCTTGATTACCTGACTAAGGCATGATTGGATGGGTATCTGTAAGGACTGTGCTGACACTCACTCTCTTCTTCGTCATCTACAGCTGGCGGACGTGCAGAGGCCATCTGCTGGATCTCGCGCCTGCTCTCCTCAGTAGACTGCATTGGGCCCAGCTGCTGCTCCTGTTGGCCTACCCACTCAGCCGTGAAACCCCCATCTTCTTCTGGCTGGGCTGTTGGGGCCATGGCAACTACAGGATACAGCAAGAGACCTTAAAGTGAGGTCCAGAGTCAGAACAGGAAAAAAATACCAAATCAACAACTGTGCATGCCATTTTATTTAACTAGCAGTTAGCAATTTATGTATGCTTCATTGCACAAACAGAGCTGACACACATACATTTCGACATGGCTGAAAACTTGAAATGCAAAATGCAAGTAGGACTTACTGTGGCTCTCTTGTTGAGGGGCAGGCGGGGAAGAGTTATTCCTGGTCTCCACGTTGTCTGCCATACCAACAAGCCACACCATAGTCGCTGGCAGTAAAAGTAAAAGACCATTGTTATGAAAACTAAACGAGAATTTCTTAAGCCACTCAAGAATCAGAAAGTAATAAATGAAGGGTTTCATACCAAAATGCTAAATAGACTACTTTTAAGAATTTTCTGGTCTTTTTTTGTTTACACTGCTGGGAGTTAGCTTTAGGCATACAAGAAACATCAGTGCATATTAGTATATTAATGATTAATACCACCTTTATTAGAGAAATAAAAATTTGTTTTCGCTATACATCAACTCTTTATACCCAAAACTGTTACAAACGGATCTACAACTTTTTGAAATAAAGCTCTTGTAGACAGGGTAGAAATGGATTTTCCTTTCAGTGTCTTACAAGAATAGATAAGGCCTGGGAACATGGGCTCATTCCTCTCTTGAGCTGTTTCAACCAGAATGCGAAGAGGTCCTTTAGGGCACAACACAGCCAGCAGATCTATCGGACAGGACAGACAAAAAACACTATTAACAACAATAAATAAATAAATTAAAAAAAAACCTGAAAAACAAACAATTTCTTAACATATCCTCCAAGAAAAAAGCTGGAAGTTATACTGCATTTAGGTAGCGAGTGATAATTTTCCTTAACTATCTCCTCTCAAAAGCTCAAATTCACTGCTATATGAGATAAACCAAAACAACTACTTTTTTACATTGGGAAGGCCTCTGGAGAGAAACATTCACACAGGTGATCATGTTTACAGATGGACCATCTGACTGGAACTCACTTTTAAATGTATCTCACTAACTGCACTTATAATTCTATCCTTGTTCCACTGAATAAAATCCTGAAATAACCATCTTCATTCATGGAGCACAGGAAATGTCAAAAGTTAATTTATGTTGTGGCTCTGACGACCTGGCTCTGTCTAAGATGTGTCACTTCTTCGGTTTAGTTCACAACACTGTTCTTCAAAAATATCTTTCCTGTTTGGAAATTAGATCCTTCCTCAACACATATCCCGTCTTATCTTATTAGACTGGTTGCAGGACACTCCTGTTTGCAGGCCTAAAAAATGAGACTACTTTATGAGGGATTTTCTATTCCAAAGTTTTTCTTTTTCTTTAAAAAAAAATAAAAAATACATTAGAATAAAAACATAAAATCTATAGAAATACTCTACAAAATTTAACAGAAATTGAACAAAGCAAAGGATAAAACTACAGGAAATAAATCTTTCATGTTTATGTTCTCACAGAAAGGGGATATGTTCAGATTTGTTTTTTCACCACTGCTTAATCTGACTCCTGGATTTCTAAAATATATAATTTATTCAAATAAATGCATATGAAAATATTCTAGTCAATGTTGATCTGGTTAGAAATGGGGTTAGAGCTATAGCTAAAACTTCAAAATGTTGAGAGATGTGTGGGATAACTGAAAAGAATCCACACTGACTGAGAGTGTAAATTAAGCCTTACTAACCATAGACAGAGATGACAGCCAGGATGAGCCAGGCGGTCCACTCCGGCAGGTACTTGATGAACACCAGGGCCATGAGAGCGCTGATCATAATAAGGTAAGCCTGCTGCAGGCGCAGTGGACCCTTCCAATGGATACAGATCATTCCTACCACCCCAAAGTTCCAGATGATTACTGCCAGCGTGAAGTAGTCCATGGCCACGTTGTATGTTTTGAAGACCTCGCTGCAACACAGCAATGTTAAAATAACACATACTGCAGCTGTGAACATGACAAGTATTCCTAGTCCATGCAGTCGGTCACCTATGTATTATAGCAGGTTGAAAAGGAACTCACCCGAGATAAATGAAGGAGAAAAAGAAGAGCAGGAGCAGCGAGGAGAGGAACAACCAGGCATGAATCACCTGTAATAGCAACGTCAGTAAACTGAATGTGCGTATATAGTCCAACCAAAGGAAATAAACACAAGCTCCTGTAAAAAAAAGTTGTCCACACTATAGTCTAAGGAATGAAATAGTTGAGGGCAAGTAAGGAGCTTAGTCTTAAAATTAATTCTCCAGGACCTCACCTTATAGCACCGGTACTTGTAGAGAAGCACCAGGACCAGTGTCATCACCACTATCACACTGATCATGATGGTTGCATTAAGGATGGAGTTGAGAGCCCGCTGACCTACTGTATCAGTGTCCTCACGGAAAGGAGTGTAGATCCTGCATAAGAAACCAAACTGTCATTAGGTCAAATAGACACCTAATAGAGAATAGGTCTCTATTTGTTTTGCAGTTCTCTCTGATTCTGCTTTTAAATGATGCTCTTTATCTAGAACGTAATATGAAAAAAATATTGATGACATAGAAGTTAACACTGCTTTCTGAAGATACTTAGTGTGAATACAAACCACAAAGTTGAATTACATGATTATTTGAAGCTTAACTTCCAGATTGTGCTTTCTAAACACATGTTTAGTTGGGAACTATGCTTTAAATCTATTGGAAAACACAGTTATTCCTTAATTAACCTATTGTTTATCTGTGAAAAAAATAATAACAGTTATCTAGCAGGGGTATCTAAAAGGAATAGGGCTGGACCAAACAGCATTTTACAGGCTTCAAATACTCTTTAGTGTTTCCAAACGTGCCCCACATGTGATTTCTGGGCATCTGTGCTCTTTTGATTTCAATAGCTACATGGAAGGTGGTGCAGTTTGTTGTGCTCAAAAGTAAGGTGACGTGGATGCACGGCATAAATGTATGATGTATTGAATGAAACCAGCTATAATTTATTTTTTAAAGGCTGATAAAATTCAATACAGTTTAGGCTACAATAATTATGGATTTATAAATTAAGCTTCTGAAAACTAAATAGAGAAACAAATGCCGACGTAATGAATGAATACAAACGTATTCTAATTATTTGAGCCCTAAAAGGAAAAATGTGCAACAATGTACTTGATACTTTAGCTCCTCCTAGAGGAACATGTTAAAAACCACATCATGCCTCAAAATATACAAGATGAAAAGTAAATCTTTCCAATGATCCATCCAACACACTGATACAGTTCCCCCTCTCAGCGTATAGGAAGGAAGTCAACATCTAAGGCAATGAAGAAGTACCACAGGACTGTGGAAAACTGTGCACACTGTGGCCCTTTTTATATCCTATATTTCTAGCATTTTCAATACTTTATATTTCTTGGATGGAAAAGGCTGAGGTGGCATTTAAAACAAAATACTGAGAAGAATCTAGTGTTTAAGTGATGGTGTAAAAACACGGTATACCACTTCCCCACCATTTTATTAGACTAAAAAGTTAAATGGTAATACAAAAAGTAAATTTTACCAGCATCATATTGCTTCTCTTGTAAGTGAACGTTCTCTCTCTGAAACTGCAGCTTTATAGAAGTACAAAGAATTATTCCAAAGAATCTTGGACCATTTCTACTGGCCCAGTAATCATGATACATTCACACAAATGTAAAGCAAAGCTTGCATTACAAATGGTGCAAAAATAAAAATGAGTCAGTAAAACGTTTTTATATGACAGTATCACTAAGTCTCTGCAGCTCAAAACTGTAAAGCTGTCCTGAAGATTTAGCAGCTATCTAAAAGAATATTAGCAACAGTAGTATCTCAACATTTTTCCTCCTGTGACTGAAGTCCTAACTGTAAATATGCTTTATGGTGTTTTATAACACTCACAGCTGCTGGCCATCCTTCTGCGTGTAGAAGCTGACTGACTTGATAGTTGCCACGACCACCACCATGCATAGTGTGACCGGGACGAAGAGCATGATGACGTGTTTGGCTCCATATTTTAGAGTCAGCTCCTCATCCTCCTCTTCCTCGCTGTCGGTCACCACCTGTGGGGGCCGAGCAGAGGGAGGCTGGCCATTGAGCTCAGTCTCTCCTCTGGCAGCACCTGTGGGGTTCCCGGTATCGGTGTGCTGGTTGACCTCTGCTCCATTGGTTGACTGCATAGAAAAGAGAGGAGGGGGTCACAAGCATTCCTTGCATGTGATTAATCTCTACAACTCTACAATGAGGTTGAGACAGACTCTGAGACCAGATTTACTTTTCATCTTGTATATTTGTATAATGTTCATAACTCATTTGCTGACATGACCGCTATGGAGTATAAATGTTTAAAAGAGGTGCTTAAATTCTGTTTTAACTTCGGCAATATATATATATATGTATGTATGTATGTATGTGTGTGTGTGTATACATACATACACACACACACACACACACACACACACACACACACACACACACACATACATACATACACACATACATATCTGGTAACTTTAGAGGGGAAGGCAAGTTAATGTAAAGAAATTTTACTTAGTGACTTTTTCTTTTGGCATTTCTATTGGTTCATTTGTCAATAAATAATGACACAATGTAAAGGGCAGCTTGCATGTTCAAATGGTGTAGAAAAATAAAAATCAATAATTTTTTTTAATTCTCATTATTTTTTTTAAAGTGACAATATTCAGTGGGTGCCATAATAACTATAACAATAACCATTTTATTTAAATAGAACATTAATTGCCCTAAGAAACTTACATTATAATTCTACACAAAAACACGAGGGGGCAAAAGAGCGACATACGATAGAACAACATGGGAAGGTGAGACAGTAAATGTACTAAAAGCACAGCAAATGCAAAGGCGATGAAGCCAGGGAAAAGTTGCGAGCTTGAGAAAACATAGGAGTTGAGATTTAAATGTGAAAAAGGCCCATAGTCTTCATCATGTGTGCCCTAGGTTAAGATCACATAGATTTAACACTTCACAAATAACACTGCGAGAGAAAAACACTGCCAGTAAGTGCCAACAAGTCTGGGCAGGACTGCCTCTTGCTACACGAAAGTAACAGACACCTGATGTTGCAGCTGTTTCTTACCTTTATCTTACCTGCCACACCTGTCTATGTAATTTGGCACCAATCACAGCAGGGAGGGGTGAACCATAACACTCTGTTTTCACTGATAACACTACGTTTTGCTGGGCTGGTGGAACTCTGCTCACATTTGCCCAACCCACGACTAAAGCTGAACAGTCTAGCATAAGAAAGTGCTGAACCAGCAGTATGAGATTTAATTATTTTAAATGCAAGGTTTGAGGAGAGCGAAGCCACAAAACACCAACCAGATGAACCTTACCACATTATTGACCAGATCTTCCGCATTGTCAGCCATTGATGCTTTGAAATGACTCGAACCTCATAGAAAAGCCAGAGCTCAGAGCTCGCTGGACCTGGAAGAAGACATGACCATAGACACAGATGTCTTCAGCTCACACAGAACAGCGCCCCAGCTATACTTCCTATAACCTTTAGCTACAAAACAAATCAAAGTTACCAGTTAGCCAGTTAGCTTTTGTTGCGAAATACGTTACATTAAGAAATCTAATAAACATAAATGAACCTAAATAAATAATAAACTAAGCTTTGCAGACACTGTGAGACCTCTAGGAGTCGATAGCTTTTGCACTCTCTTTTATTTAACGAGACAACTTAGCTAGCTAAGCTACCCAAGGGACGATAGCAAGCTAGCTACCCGCCTGATGTTCGCTTCCTGTTCGGCAGCTTCTTGTTCGAACTCTCCCGTTCCACCTTAAATGAAAAGCATTTAAGGTCGAACGGGAAAATACGAACAAGAAGCTTCAGCCTCGTCGAGCCGGTGGTCTCGTCAGCCAACTTTTAAACGACTCCACGCAAATAATGTAGCTTTTACAAATGAGTTTACATTCGGCGAGCGTCTGTGAAAAGGAAGCCACAGATTTCACAAAGGCAAAGAAAGTCGGGCAGCTAGCCGGCTAACCGGTTATCCATTGGTGTCAATGGAAGCGCTTAGCTAGCTTCAGTTAGCCGTTAGCTGTTCCTTGGACAGAAATGTCCAATTACTCGGATTTAATACGTGTTAATAAACATGTTAAATGTCACCCGGCGTCGTCAAAGAAGCCACGGATGATTCCAGGAGTTACAAACAGACACAGACACTCACTAACCTGACAAAACGCAAACACTGTGAAGACGGAAACGGGGCTCTGTGCTTCGCTGAAGCTTCAGGCTTGAGCTCTGGAGGACAAAACAAAAGTCCCAGATGAACGTCTTTTTAGTCATTGAATTAATATTATTTTCACTAATAAGCACTAAATCAATTCGCATCAAACAAACAAAGTCATAAACAAAACACTGAATTCTAAATGTTTCAGAATAACGTCTTTCTTTTTTAGTACTAATATTTTTATTTTTTTGTGCTAAAGAGGCATCATACCGAGTTCATATGTTTTACATGATTGATAAAAAATATAGATGTGTATTTTCAATATCTCTTAAGCAATGGTTATCTAAGGAAACAAGTACTTGAAATATCCTCGATGCAACTTTTATGGTACAAAATAAGTACACCGAGTAAAATTTGCAAATAAGCATAAATAAAACCTTAAATACAGAAATCTTGAATTCAATTTAGGGCTAACGATGCTCTCAAATTAAATATTTGTTTATTTATTTATGCATCTAATCATTGGAACTGAATAAATAAAACTTCTCCCTGAAAGTCCTCTTTCATGTGTGTTTAGGTTTTCCATTATTTAACAAATAGCGCTTTATTTGTTTGTTAGTTGGTTCTTATCTGTGTTTGTCATTTTTTAATGAAGTGAACTGAATTTCATTTTTTGTGCAGGTCATATTCTGATAAGCTGTAGTAGCCTGGCCTGTATCTGATTTGTTATAAATGAGTAGATCGGTCATTGCTTGGAAGTTGAATGGAAACGCTCGTAACGCGCAACATACAGCAGAAAGTCCCGCCTTTCAGGAAAAAAAGAGCCAATCAGCTCGCTGGTTACTCCGCGAACGTAAAAACCCTGTAGAGAGACTCTGTGCGAATCCCGTGTGAGAACAACACTGCGCTGATCTCTCTAAAAAAGGTTTTCATCATGTCCCAAATAGAAGCGTGGTACATGGACGAGTCCACCGAGGATCAGAGGCTTCCTCACAGATTAGAGCCAAACAAGTCCGTCTCTTTGGAAGACTTGCAGAAAATCGGAGTTTTCTACCGAAAGGTGAGTTTATAAAGTGTGTGCTCCTGGTTTAGTCAGCTGACTGTGAGTGACCTATGTTAACTAACTAACGTTACATAACGTACACAGATTTCACAGAGGCGCGATCAGAGTCAGACAGTGGTAATGAGGTAAGTTGCATCTGTGTCAAAACAGCTCCTTTTACCTGAAGTTGAATAATGTTTTTAATGCAGTTTGAGTAAAGTTTAGCACATGCAGCTGTAGAGCTGTGGACCTTCACCTCTGCTTCGATACCATACGGCACGATAATGCTGGGCGATGTATCGTCTAACACTATAAACAGCGATATTGCTTTTCAGTTGGAGCGGTATTTTTGTGATATAACTTACTTGATAGACAGTAATCATTGTAGCCACGTCATCCACATGAAACAGCGTTGTCCCTTTCGCTAAAAGTTGTTTGTTGTGCACTTTATACTCGGACATGCAAGCCTGATGATCTGGTGCTGGTCACCCAGCATGGTCATTCTGGTTGATCAGCATAGTAGCATCCAAAACACAACGTATGCTGGTTTTGGTGGTGACCAGAACAAAAGCTTCCATTTGCCACTGACCAGCATACCGGCATCCAAAACAAAACTAGGTTTGCTAGCAAGGAGAATAATTGCAAATACACTTCTTTGAGTATCGAGTACCAGTACTGGGGGGTTATAAAAACTTAGTCAAGTATTTTTTGATCATTTCTATTGGCCAATCACGAGAGATGATTACACAATGTACAGAGCAGCTGGCATTCTCAACTGATGTAGGAAAAACTGAGTTTTTGTACTAAAAGCAATAATATTATTATATATTGCCGTTGTCATCTCCAAAATGGTAACTTACAGGAGAAGGAAAAACATACTTTACTTTTAATATAAGTCAATGGAACCAGACTTTTTTCAGAGTAATTTTGGGCCATTTCTTTTGGTCCATTCATCATGAAATTTACACACAATGTAAAGGCCAATAAGCATTTTCAAATTATATCAATAACTGAAAATGGAGAAGGTTTTGTTCTGATAGCAGCGATATGGAAATGTCTACTAAACTGGTTCAAAGTCAGTCAAACACATTTCAGACTTTTAACTGACTTGGACTTCAAACTAAAACCCTTTTGCTTTCAGTGACTGTAGAGCTTAATTACGTTTATTTCATTAAAATAAATTATTGAACATTCCATTTTGTCACTACCAAAACAGTGATAACTCTACAAAGACTTTACCAAATGTTTCAGTATTGACTGTTTCAGTAGTGACAGTTTTAGCACATTTTGAGCAGAACTTAAAAATGCTAGCCAGAACATGACTAGCAAACACAGCTTTAAACAGCTGTGCACACACAAAATCATAACATTTTTCATTAAAACGTTAACAATGTGTGTTCACTAGTGACATATTCTTAATGTTACATACTGATTTTCAGACTTTGGGACACATTTACTTCAAAATAGTGGAGTGAAACTGCTCACCATGTGGCCATGAGGGACAGGGATGAACTTTCAAAGAAATCAAAAAGATATTTTTAAAAATGACATTAGAAAAAACGATGGATGGATGGATGGATGGATAGATAGATAGGTAGACAGATAGATAGGCAGATAGATAGATAGGTAGACAGACAGACAGACATACAGACAGACAGATAGATAGATAGACAGACAGACAGATAGTTAGATAGACAGACAGACAGACAGACAGACAGACAGATAGATAGATAGATAGATAGATAGATAGACAGACAGACAGACAGACAGACAGACAGATAGATAGATAGATAGATACCCAGACAGACAGACAGACAGACAGATAGATAGATAGATAGATAGATAGGTAGGTTGACAGATGGATAGACAGATAAAAAATTCCACAAGTTGAAATTTAGGGTTTATGGTTTGGTACAGCCACCTCCCAACAGAAAATACCCTATAAACAATGAACAATGAACTTGTTACTATCTCTATTAATGCATTGAGTTTGAATAGATCATATATAGTCTTTTAAATATGAGTATGTAATCATTTTTTACCTCAGTTTGAACTATTTCTGTAGAATAATGCATGCATGCCCTGCTCTCAAATAAGTTGTTGTCTTGCAATAATTTACAGACTGAGTAACGTACTTGAGTAGATTTCCTAAACTTGCTAAACTAAGAGCTAAAGACTTCCCCTTTTTCTCATTGACAGGGTAATTGCAGTCATTTTCTCTATTTCTTCATACATGCAACTCTAACTGGGTGGGTTGAGCATAAAAAGTATGAAGTGGAATGGACTTGGCCTTTTTCAGTCTAGTTGTACTGAAGGAAAAGTGTAGTCTGTATAGAACTAATCAGTGAATGACCAATGTAGGCTTTTGCAAAACACCACAGAAATGAGTTGTTCCTCTTGTATTTTTCTCTTTCTCAGTTAAATGCTGATATCTATGAAAATGATCCTGAGTTACAGAGGATCCGTGAAGAAAGAGGCTACTCTTATATGGACATTATAACCATCCATCCAGATAAACTGCCCAACTATGAGGATAAAGTAGGTGACTGTCAGTGGCTCTGCTTTGCACACAACTGCTTCACATAAAAAGTCAGATCAAGCCTGTTAAGTGTTTATATTTTAATACAATGACTAACTTTTTCTTTTTTCCAGTTGAAAATGTTCTATGAAGAGCATCTGCACCTGGATGACGAGATCCGCTACATCTTGGAAGGAAGAGCGTACTTTGACGTCAGGGACAAAAATGACCACTGGATCCGAATTGCTATGACGAAAGGAGACCTGATAACACTACCAGCAGGAATTTATCACAGATTCACACTGGATGAGACCGTAAGCTCTGAGACAGACCTCACAGCTGAAACCATAGCTTTCTGAAGCGTGTAGTACTTGTTTTAGAGCTGGGGGAAAGTCTGTCAAACAGGGGTATAAAGTGCAATATGAACCCAACTGTATCAGTTTTGCGATGTTAGAACCGATTATAATCAGTTATAGTATTCAGGAATGGTTTGTGCTCAATTTTTAGCCAAAAATAATGACATGAACATGAAAAACTAATGTAACATTCTTCCCCTCTCCATTTCAGAACTACACTAAAGCCATGAGGCTGTTTGTGGGAGAGCCAGTATGGAAGGCCTACAACCGTCCAGCTGATGACTTTGAAATCCGCCAGAAGTACGTGCAGTCACTCACGTGCTCCTGAACTGGATCTAGGCTCACCTGATGACATTGGTGTCACGGAGCCATGGGATCTATGCCTTATTAGAAGTATGACGTCTCAGCATCTTCAACAATCTTACAATCATATCAGCAGGACAGTATTCATAATGCCTTGATTATTGTATCAGTAAGAATCTCAGTACATCAATGTGGTTCAATGATGACTTTTCCTGTAGTAATAATCACTGTGATAGATGTCAGGTGCAGAGTTAGTTTTAGCATTAGTGATTCAGATCTAAGAACTGAAGCACCGTCATAGTGAGGTGTAAATTAGGATAATACACGCCTGTTACTGTAGTGTTACAAAGTGTTTTGATCCTTTAATGATCGTGTCTTAACAGATTGAAATAAAATTTCACAGGTTTGTCTCTGTGTCCTGTTCTGGTTTAAAGCTCTTCATAGTTCAGCTGTTAATGTGTTAATGATGTGCTGCCCTGCCACTCTCTACACACGATGTGGGACGGGGTACCGTGGCTTAAAGGGCCAATGTTATGGAAAAACAAAGTCATCTCAATTTTTAAGTACAGAATTTGAAATAATATGTAAACGCTGTTAAAGTTTTAAAACAGATCACTCACTTGCAAGTCCATACAGTCCATATATGAGAGCTATGATGCAAAAACAGCTGTTTTGAATTCATTGTTTCTGTGATATCTTCAATTCATTTACATATATCCACCTATTCAAGCAACAACAGTTTAGCCCCACCCATTCTGGCTGAAGTTCTAGGGGGTGTTTCAGCTCTGAGTACTTTTTGAATGAGGCACTACAGGACAGCCAATCAAAACATTGATCAAGTTCCTTATCTTATATCAGGCTTAAAAGCACAGGAACAAAATCAGCCTGTTTAATTCTAAGGGGTAAAAAGATGCTGAATTATGACCATATTTGGTGCATAAAACCAAACAAATGTCAAGGAAAAAATAAAATACAAGACACAATGTGAGATATGAGCCCTTTAAACCTCACTGACTAGCTAAAGCAGAAACAGCATATTGAAATCAGCTGAAGTTTATTTAGATTTCCTTTTCTAGTATCCAAAAATGTACAGTACAGTTGATTAACGCACCACACAAGCAGCAATACATGCACAAAACCACATTCACAATTACATGTTAAAGTTACATTAAAATAATAGAACATCATAATACATTGGTTACAATTTCTGGTCGCTTTTGTAAAAATGCTATGAAAATAAAAGGCAAACAGCCAGGAGGGAGTTTCTCAGAAGCACTGGAGCACAAAGATACTATCAGAGTATTGCTTTGCATACTCTAATAGTAAATGTTATCTAAAATCAATAACTCACATAAAAATCATATCATTTACAGAATATTCCCCCTCACCACAAACGTAGTCAGTCAGTATCTAAGGTTTGCTTCTTTAGTTCTGCCCTGGAGCTGCGAGGCTAATACAGATAAAATGTAATAGCTATGGTGACAGACTTCTTCTATTAGCCGGTTAGCTCCACTGCAACACTAAAGAAGCAAACTTGAGACACCAACCACATCTTGGTTAACTGACTACATTTGGGTTGAGGGGAAAACTTTGTCAGTTTGATTTTTTAATGCTATAATGCTTTTAAAAAACTCAGCCCAGATTGTTATTGCTGTAATGCTATCTCTCATTTAGGTTGCTTATTTACTTGCGAGACTTGTTAAAATATTTACATTTCTTTTTTGGATTTTACATCTACTTACATTCTCCCTGGGCTTGGAAAGAGGGAAACACTGGTTTAAAAGCTTACTTCACACAGCTTTCCATGTTTCAACAGGTCAGCTTTGGTTTTAGTCACACACAATAACATTCCACGTCTTGTAAAAACTGCACATAACAGTGAATCAGTGGCATTTTTAGCTTGGTCTTATTAAAGCAGTATTGTGACATCTTGGAGCTGGTTCTTGGCCCATGACCAAACAGCCAGGATCAGATGTGGAGCTAATAATGCCCTCCCTGTTGGCTGTGGAATCCAATGCCTGGCTCGTTAGACCAGTTTGAGACATTGCGTGTTGAAGCTGTCCCCTTCTCGACAGGCCACGGCCTCCAGCAGAGCCTGCTTCTTCTGCGTGCTGCGGGAGGACTCCAGCTCGTACATGGTGGTCAGGTTGAAGAGCACGCTCTCATGTAGATAGAGTGCTGGGTCCTGCTGCACGAGGCTCTCTAGCTGACCCAGAGACTCCTTCAGACGGCCCAGGTAAAGTAAACATACAGCTGCATTGTTGTTTGCCTGGAGAACCAAGAAGGTAAATAAACATAAGACGTATCATCGAAAACATTTGGTGGGGTCTTGTTTAAGCTAAGACTATGCACTGTTTATTTGTATTTATTCTAATGTGTTTTTTTGAAGAAATAAACATACAGATAAACAGCTTTACATATTTTCTCAGAGATTTATAAGTCTCTTAGTAGTTACTCAGTAATTTATAGTTATTGAGTAATAAGCCTTAATATTAATAACTGAATCATAAGTATGCAGTTTAAAGTATTAAACCAGGGCTTGATGACAATACACATGAAAACATACAGTCATATGCAAAAGTTTGAACACCCTTGGAGAAATTAAAAGTTTTGTTAAAGTGAAAATACATTTCACCCTGGTCAAATTATGTTTTATTTTTTTTTTTCAATATTTTAAATTCAGTAAATAAACAGTCACTGTGCATTAAAATGTGCAGAAGTTTGTTCTCTGTACGACATTATTTTCACATAGAAAATCAACTAAACATGTCATTTGACCAGGGGCACCCAAACATTTGCATACAACTGTATATGACAACTGTCCTTTTCAGCTTTCGTATCAGCTCAAAAGAAGGAGACTTTAAACCAATCTGAACCTCAAGAAAAGAAAGTCAATAAGCAGTCTGGACTGATAATGACAGAAAATAGACTGTGTCTTTACCACTGGATTCTTGGGATCAATTTTCAAGATGCCGGAGAAACACGTGTGGGCTTCTGCATAATTATTCTGGCTGAGGTAAACAAACGCCCTTTAAAAAAAGCAATAGATGGTTATTACCAACACATAAAGACTGCTTTATTATAAAAGAAGGGAAAAAAAACAAAAAAATTAGTAGTTGAGAAGAGCAGAACACAACTCTGATAGGCAATCATACTTATTCATTAAAACAGACGTGTCCTGTGCTGGGCCCGTTCCCTTTTCTTCACAAGTTTTCTCCACTTCTTGAAAATACTTCTCTGCAGTTCTGATGTCTCCAATCTTAGAACCAAAAACATAGATCAGCTAAGTATAATCTGAACCAGTAATGGACAGTTAGAGATAGATGTAATGCTGAGACAGACATGGAGAATGAGGATAAACTGCCAAAAGAGTCACCTTGATACAGAGATTAAAATATGAATATTTATATTTTTATACTAGGGTTGTGAGACATGCATCTTAATTAAAAAAGGCATAATATAGAACATGCTGACATAAACTACAATGGTGTCCACTATTAAAAACCAAGGTCACAACATATCATTGATGTGAAGCACCACTTCTGAGTGCTAATAGTGGAGAATGTAACATGAGTGAGTGAGTTACCACATCTATGAGGTGCATTGTATCTTAAAAATGGTATTGCTGAAAAAGAGACAATCATAAAGGTGAGAAAAATGTCTCGCACCCTGAAACCATTTACACTTTGTATTTTATTTTTTTTCATTTTCTGAGAAAATGATTTGTATGTATGAATTATGCTGTGTTTTTATTTTGGCAATTGCACCTACAAGCAAAATGAATGCTGGCATTTCTTTTTTTTTCTTTTTGCTTGCATATCAAGTATTTATATATAAATAACATACTGTGAAATTTGTGTATCGTCACAAAACTCCGACTGGAACTGCAGTTTCAGTTGTAAACCATAAATAATAAAATTCCAAACATTCAAAGTTTCTTGATTCAGATATGTAATGTACTTTTTCTACGTATCTAATGCCTTTTTCAGAATCTGAAACCCCAATGTAATGAAATATACATCAGAGATGGCCGAGAAGGCACTCTAGAAGAATGACCACATCTCACCTGCAGGAAAATGCGTCCTATTCCACTCAGCAGCTGCACTCTCTGCTGTGGCTCATATTGGATGATGGAGTGATACGTCTCAACTGCCAGAATGTAGTCCTGGGTGTGTGAGGAGAGGAGAGAAGGATGAGGGCGAAGGAAGAAAACACATGAGGATGTAGAGACGGGAACATGAGGCAAAAAAGTTTTTTTTTTTTTTTAACCCTTGTTTTCACCCTAATTGTGTCAATACCAGTTTCACCTACTAGCTAGGTCTCCCCATCACACAATGCTACCAAGCTGGAAGCGTGAAGGCTACCACATACTTTATATGAGACATGTGAGGCCAGCCACCAATCTTTTCTAACTGCCCTTAAGGCAACATCATTAGACAGCTCAACATGCTTAGAGGAAAACAAAAGTGAAAATAAGTTAACATATTTTCAGGGAACAATTTTCTGCTTTTTCTTTTGAACATAATGGAAAAAAAAACACATAAAATATAAAATGTGCCATAACTTTTGCACAGGCCAAATTTTATGTCAAATTTAGTAGATAAACAGTAACTGTGTATTAAAATGTGTGTTCTCTGTAGTGGATGTGTTCACTTATTTTCATGTAGAAAATCAACAACATGAATTTGAACAGCTGTGCCCAAAATGCTGCTTCAGATTTAAAAATATATAAATAGAACATAAAATAAAAATACAAACTCCACTCAAAAGCAAGAACCATATTTTGATATGCTCAGATATTTTTAAAATAATTTCTGGTAGTTGCAGTTAAACGATCCTGAAATCTGGGAGTGCTGCATCCCCCTCAGCGGCCAGTATTTTGTTCAAACACAATACAAGTCCTGTAGAAATGGTCTTTAGCCAGCAGATGGCACTGTATCGCCACATTCCAGTTCTCACTCTCCAGACAAAGAAAACAATCCAAGCGCAATACACAGATCCAGCCCTTACAAACAACTAAAGGTACAGCGCCATTCTTCTGGTGACCTTTCTCCAACTGAAAACAAGCCTGCGCTTTCAGAACCTCAAACCCAGCACACATCGCTCCTCGCAATGGAGATCACATTTTGGATTGGGGGAATGAAGCATGGGCTGAGTAAATGCCCTTGCTTCTGATCCAATATCCTACTGAAAGCTCATGTCTAGACACTGGGCCATGAATAGCGGTCAGATGGGTCAAGCAAACAAACAGAACGCCTCTCACTTTTATTAAAGCGTATAGAGGGGGGGGGTGAGGTAAAGTACAACAGTACATGCCTGGATTTAGTGGACCTCTTCATAACCCCCTGCTTTAAGTAAGATCTTAAAGAAAAATGGAAAGCTATAAATAAGCTGCTTATAACTGGGCAACACACATGCAGGAGGTGTTAACAGAGACATAAGCATAAGTGTTTTGTGACATGTGGGGAGGAAATTTGAAAGGGGCAAATCCTACTATCTGAAAATTGGAAACATTTAGCCTGGATAAAAACAGAAAAAAAAGTATAATAATTAAGACAAATCAAGCCTAAAATGTCTGTTTGCTGTGGTAAAGGATACAAAGATGAAAGGAAGAAGAGGGACTGTATGTAAGTGTTCCCAAGTGTGCTATGGAGGACAATATTTTATATCATGACAATGCATTTTAATAAAATAAATCTATTATAATTCAAACAAAATGATCCAAATAGTGACCAATAATACAGACTGCCGTGACGCTGCAAGTAGCCTGCAAGCAAGATAAAAGAAGCATCCTTTTGTTCCACTGAACGAATCGTATCTCATCTTTTACTTCAGAATCTGTCTAGTGAGATGTGTTAAGAAAAGTCTTCTCATTCTAGCCATTCTATAAGGTACATCAGACCTAAACGCAGAGCACACGTAAAATTATAGCTATAATAATGACAAATAAGCATTATATTCATGTTGTTATTTGGTCTTGTCCTCTTTGACTGCTGGTCTGCTAGTAGGCTTTGTGGCGCATGTATAAGCAGAACTACGGTAGTATGTCTCTGCAGCAGCTCTTCTCCACCACCCACATACCTTCATCATTAGCAGACAGTTTGCCATGGAGTACATCACCCGGCACAGACGTGACCTCCACAGCTGAATAGAGGCTGTGAAAGAGAGAGAGAGAGAGATTGAGGGAAAAAAAAAAGACAGGAATAGCCAATTGCAGTCTTTCCCTCCTCCCTTCAGCATCACACACCCTTTCCCCCTTCCAAGCCATCAATTATTTGTCTGCGAGAGGGAATTATGGCGAATGGCGACAGAGGAAAAAGACACTGCGACAATCAAATTCATTTTTCCCTCTGGCTTACTGGAGGCCCCTTCACTGAGCTTGTCTGTTCTCATATTATTTTTCCGCGTGCATGTGCGTCGCTTGTTTGTGCTCATCAACAGGGAGCAGGGGAGCCAGCTGAGTTGAGCTGCAGCTAGAGTGCATCTGTTGCCTGCTTAGAGATGAAGAGGGTCTACAGAAAGATGGAGAGGACAGGAGAGGCTAGCATCTCACGCTGCAATTTACTGTGGTAAAAGATGAAAAAGCATAAAAGACGAGGGAAAGAACAGAGCGGTTCTAATAACCAATTCACAGTAATGGAATTACTGGGCTTCTTGGTGTGCACAGCTGTGCCTCTTCGGAGGAGCAGTTCTATCTCTGGAGGATAAAATTTCCAACATTTGTAAACATTTCATTATGACAATTGCTGCTATTGAAATAAATTAAACAATCTATTAGCATTCAAATACGAAATGATCAAAGTAGTGACCAATAATGCAGATTTTTGCGATGCTCCATGTAGCCTGCAATCAAGATAAAAAGAATAACAAGCTGTCTGAATGTCGAATACAAACTAGCAAAGAGTTCTGGTGTATCCCCTTTGATATATGCTCAGCAGTTATTTTAAAGCAATCGTTCAGTGAGATGTCAGATTTACCCATTTCCCCCCAACTCACACCAATGACCAGCCAAGACATGTTTTCTGTCCATTATTTGCTTCAATAGTTTTGCAGTGGAGAGACAGAGCTAAAATAACTAATAAATAGTGGAAACTTATAGCTATCAGGTTAGCATTGTGCTTAACTACATCCTCAAGAAATTTCCTCAAATCATGTCAAATAATCTCAAACAGACTTTCCTATGTGGTTTCTGACACCTATGACATACATATATAATTAAAGATGGACAAATTAAGTCACATAGCTAAAACAGTCGTATGACCCTGCATTCACACAGGCAGTGATGCAAAGCAACAAAGTAGCCGGAGGTCGTTCATTTTCAATGAGAGCTGGTGATTTCTGGTGACAGGAGGCAGCGCGAACGTTGACGATGCAAAGTGGGCGGAGTCAGTGACGCGACAAAGTTGAGCCGAGTTTCTCTTTATGCATATAAGGAGCGAAGCGATGCTGTGACTACCAATAGGAATTGAGCATTAAGCTTTATCCCTGCCACTGTAAAACAGTGCACTCCTTTTTTGGTTCTTAGGTAATTGTTCCTACTAGAGATGGAATAACGGTAGTGGTGCTTTCGTCGCAAATAGACAGTAATCGCAAAGACTAAATACTGTTTTCCTCACAAACTGACTGCACAGACACTGGATTATTAATTTTTTTAGCAGGATGCATCTGATTTGTGCTTGGTATGAGTGAAATCATGGCAACCAAGGTCAGTTATGAAACGACAAGGCAACAAGAGGTGGAAAGTCGCTGCCGGTGTGAATGCAGGGTCAGTCATCTTAAAGCCTCGTTTTTTTATAAATAACAGTAAGACATACAGTATCACAAACAAACTTCTAAACATTAGCCTCATAGCTCCAAAGTAAATGTAAGAAGCAAAGTTTGGAAACCAACCATGTCTGGGCTGATCGACTACATTTGGGTTTAGGGGTAAATTGTGTAAATTTGATTTTTCACTGAACCATCACCTGTATTATAGAAAACACTTTCTCTCCATATTTACAATCGCAGATAAGCAAAGCAACGTCTTGCCTGGCATTCTGCTTGGTTGTTAGCATAATGATAATTAGAGAAAGATGGGCCTGAGTATTGAAATTCAGTACCTTTACTTTAGTCCCATTTGTGTGTCGAAAAGAAATTCCCTGATAAAATAGTACCAAATTTCAATACCTAAGTAGTCAGTCTTAATATTGTCAGTGAGCTGACAAGCATCCTTGTTCAAAAATGTAGGCTAAGATTCGCAGTAGGGTTGGATAATATGATGATTTTAATTGTTATCATGCTAAATTACATTACAATAGAACATGTATAGATAGATGTATAGTATAATACATATGGTTTTCTGAGCATCGAGGAGATTGTCAGTATATGTAGAGCACTGACCCACTGAATGTTCCAGTACTAAAAGAGCAGAATTAGTCCTGTTTGATTAGATATAGTGCAGTGCCAATGACTGTATTCATAGTTTTTGATAGTATTTTTTTAAAAGTGGCACTACAGGTTCTTGACCCATTACAAAAAATTGAAATTAATAAATAAATTAACAACAAAACATACAAGCATCATGTAATTATTTTTAAATATATAGTTTTATATTTTTATTTTGTATATTGCATTTAAAAGAAGTGTTTCAAAAATATGCATAGTTCAAGAACTGGTATTAAAATCAAGATATCAGAATTGGTATCGAAAATCTTTAAACAATACCCAGCCTTAGTGAAAGGTAATGAAAACAGCCAAATTATTTCTGCATTTTGACATCACAGCTTCACTCATGCATGTAAATTGCTTTTTGTTTTAGAAGTATTTAGTATAGCTTTTCCCTACTGACTAACGTACACCCTGAGAGCTTCCCAGACTTGTATTTAAACTCTTAACCTGACCACAGCATCACTGGTCAGCAGGGGAGAGGCCAGCATTAGTGATAAACAGGTCTATGGGTTCCTCCTTGCCGATAACCCAGGGTGAGGGCAGTGGAGGGGGAGGCAGCAGCTATGAACAGCACAAGTCCAGCAGGCTGTCAGCACTTTGCAGCTTCTCTAGAGGCACACAGGCTGCGGGATGCTCCACATGGGACGCCACATCATGGACTCCACTCTGCACACATTCGTCTTTATATCCACTAGAACCAACAACAGAAAGCTCTGAGCATGCGAGTCAATCGAGTATGCAGGATTTATAGAGGTGTCAACTTCCTGCCCTGACACCGGAACAAACCAGGATCAAATACCACCGTGTGAAGTCTGCTCCGCACTGTAATCCTGTTATTTCACTCGATGCCCACTTGTTAATCAGAGAAGTATATTGTTAGTTTTTCCCCCTCATTGAATCTTGTAATACATTATCTCATTCTATTAGACCTAATTTATTTTGTAATTTCAAAGTTGTTCTTGGGCTTCATTGAGCTGTGTAGTAATGTGATGCCAGCTTTAGAGAAATAAGAAAGTGTTGAAAAGAGAAACTGCTAGTGTTTGCAATATCTTAAGAGTTTGCAGCATCAAAATGTCCATTAAGGATATGCATACTGCTACTAATGCTGATATTTTAAATGCAAAATGACTTCCATAATTCTTAACTACATGTCATAGAAAGTGCAGGCAATTTTAAAATGATGTGTATATAGGATCTTTAAAATCATTAGTTCTTCATTATAAATTTAAATGTAACAATTATTTGAAGGCTATGTACATAGAGACTTGTGACACATGCATGAGCAATAGTTAAATATTCATGAACATTAGCCACATTTACATGCGCCCTAATAATCCGTTAATAATAGAACTAATAGTTCAATCAGAATAGAATATGTCCATGTATACACCTCAGTAGGAACAGACTTTCAGAACACAATTTCTATCCGACTGAAGGAGGTGGGTAATCCAGTAAATAATCTGTTAAATAGAAAATTAATAACCAAGTAAATTCCTGTATTCAATTACATTCCCAATCGGAAAGTTTAATCCGTTCTGTGCATGCGTGTTTGCGTCTTAGTGAAAGTTTATAACGTTCAACATGGCAGGAGCAGAAACTGGTCTGCAGAGGAGATGAAGTTGAACTTTAAAAGACGGCGGTGGGACGGGCGTCCAGCTTATGTGTCTCAGAACACAACGTCTTCCTCTCGCCATTTTTTAATAAGTACATGTGAAGTATGTTTTCCTGAGTCTGACATCATTTTAAAGTATTTAAAAACAAAAGTGCGCCAGCTGTAAACTCACACTGCCATGGTAGTGTCTACACTAAGTGGTACTCTACACATGCGCATACTTTTGGATCGGAATACTTGTAGTGTGTATGTAAACGGAGATTTTCCATCAGACTGTTGAGCAGAGTGAGCATATAAACACCTCAGTCTTAATCTATAATCAGAATTTATTCAATCAGATTGGCAAAATTCTTTGCATGTAATAGAGCCAATGTCAATACTAGTAAGATGACATCAGATGTTCAAGAAGTAAATGGCATTGCGCTGACAGAGGTTCTTAAACAAAAGTGATAGACTTTTCTATAAAAAAAAGAACCTCAAAGTAAACTGATACAGGAAAATATATATAAAAAAAAATAAACAATACAAATTTGTTATGATTTGTATGAAAATAAATGTGTATGAAAATTATCACTTTCATTTCAGGGCATTAAAATCTTCTATAAAACTTATGTTCTCAACTAGGCCAAGTTCAGTTACATGGGAATGATGCTTCCTAAAAGTGTTGTAAATGGAAAAAAATGACTGGCACTTTAGTTTAAGTACCCTTAGATTTAATCTTGTGAATCCTGACATAAGCTGACCATAAATACACAAGTATTAATTTTTCAGCATGTTATTCAAAGATTATGCATGTGTTATGTATCAAACAAATGTAGGTAACCTTTAACTAACATGTTACCTATTTAAATGTGCTTACACATGACAGATCAAAATCTTTATATTCACAGAATGGTTCACAGGGTTGGGAAGCCCCAGAATAGCTGGAATTCATTCTCCAAGAGCTTGAAGCGCTTAATTTATAATCCTCATACCCCAGTATGGTCCCAAGTTAAAAGTGCAATACCTGCTGTATATATTTTGAGGTAAATTCTATAATGCTCAACAGTTCTCAACATCATATAGACAATTCTCAGTGTCCCTCATGTAATAAATGACAGAGCACTGGGCTGAGTGCAGTACCTTGTCTGTTCTCCTGAGTGAGGGTCATCATGCTGCCGTCCTCGGCCAGGCCCTCCTCCAGGTTGGCCAGGATCTGTCCACAGAGAAGAACAGTTTCAGAGGCTGAGACTGAGCTTCTAGTATTGACCGTAATATTAAGCTAGATGATAGAGGGCATTTTCAAAGGTTTTATTCAAAATTTCAAGTTTTTAAAGGATAGATAACATTCAGTAATCACCTATTTATAGTATTTATCACCAGTTTTAAAATCAATAGTATTTCTTGAAATTATCACCACTTTCAAATAATTTTTATTATAACTCTCAGTTGCCGATGTTATCCAGCTTTCTCAGTTATTATGGAATCATCTGCATCCCTGTTCATCATTCTGGACACATCTAAAACCTTTTTCTAATATAAATTTTTATGCTTCCTACAAATTATTTAAAACCTATGAAGCTGCAGAGTTCTATCATCATACTAGTATCATTTTGTACATGTTTCTGCAACCAAACTGGTTAAAATGATTGACAAAAGTGATTTCAGGCTTCCGAATGCCAGTGTATGTATGGAGAGCAGCAGAGGAGAGCCAGGCAGTATTATGGAAAGTTCTGGGTTGAGGGTGGGTTGGACTCACTCACTTTCTGACAGATGCTCCTCATGCTGTGCAGGCGGTCCAAAGACTCCTGGGGCTTGCTTAAGTACTGAGGCAGCTCAGCGTGCAGCACGCGCATGGAGAACGGCACCATCGAGCCTGAACAAACAAACAGACCACAGCCGACTTCAGACACATTCACCACTGTTTAGAAGTTTGGAGTCACTGTTTTAAATGTATAAAATATATAAAATGATTGTAATTTGCTAGTCCTGTGCAACTTTACAGGTCCAATACAATTAGTAGGAAGCACTAACAGAACGACCGCTGTAATGCTGTATAACCATAACAATGATGTTATAATAAAATAATAATTAAAAAAAAAAAGTTTGTGAAGAGCAGTGTCAAATTAGCCTCTGATTATAGTAAAAAGCTAAGTCCAGTATATTACTTATAACTGAATTGTTTTGGTAAATATGGAATAAATCATCTAAATACCTTTGGGCATCAAGTTTGTGATATTTAAATTAAATTTAAATAAATTTACACTGAATATGTTGTTATTGTATATAAATGAAAACAAACAAAAAAAGGGTAAGATTTTATTGGTGCTCATAACTGGGCATCTGCCTACTTCCATTGCTTGTAAACGATCATAACAGCGTTATCAATGGAACAAATATCGGTAATTTTAGTTTAAAGCCCCTTATGTCAATACAAAGTCATTTGCTTCATTAAGCATCTCATAACATCTTGCGATTACTGGCAAAAACTGTTCATAAATACTCAATATTCAATACTTATACATGTTATGTAGCTTCTATATAGGTAGCCTTCAAATAGTGTAACCAAATTTTTATTATTAATATTATTATCATTGTTATTATTATTATTATATAAGTGATTCCACAAACTCAAACGCCTTCCATGACTTCTCCTCACATCTTTATCTCAACCAGTATCCACATTTTCTTCTTTCTCTATCTCACCAATGAGTTGAGATATGTGCTTATGACCTCCGCGCTGGCTTTGATCGGGTAACTCTTTGATATGTGGAGGGCGCCTGAGGCTGTATGCCAAGGTGAGAGGTCACCTGACCCAGACAGGGCCAGTCTTAATGTCTGCACTGATTGCCTTGGCTCTTTAGAAGAACCTGTCACACCGAGCACAGTGCTGCAGTGGTCAAAGTCTTGTTCTGCCATTTATACCTCATAAGTAAGCTTCTGATGGCTGAAAAACCGCAAGTTTCTTCTCAATAAACTACATGCTCTGAAAAAGAAGTTCCTATACTTTTAAAATGTATGGTCTAGGAAATAAGAAAAAAAAACAGGCCTATTCATTTTCATCGTGACTAAACTTCTGCATAGCTATGAGGCCTTTTCACAGTAGAAATCTAATTAGACTCTTTGTATTTCAAAGCAAAGCCACATGTGAAGTTGTCATTTTTGCCTGGAATTCCTGTTGGGCTAGTAATTGAAGAGCAACTGAGAGCGGAAAAGACAAACGCTTATGCTCAAAGAGACTAAATGGCCTATAGCTGTGACCAAACCTGATTCCTTTCCTGTACGCTTTCCTTTTTTACATGCTCTAACATGCGTACCTTCGGTTACATTATAATTCCATTAAATGTTTCTCTATCACCCTTTGCTACAGTATGTTAAAAAGGCTTTCAAAGCTTTTCAAACGTTTGAGCCAACTGCTTTGGCCATTCTTTCAATCAGTGGGTACTCCATCTGAATAGAATGGCATTTGCCATTTAACTGTATCTTAATATATCTACCTGTGAATGAATAAAAGCATTTTATTCCAGAGACTCAAGCAGAGCACTTGGTTTCTGAGGAAGTTACCTCGTCTTCCGGGGTACACTGTAGGGTAGTACTCATAGTACAGATCAGGCTGGTCCAGATTCCCAAAAGGCTCAAACTCCAGGTCAGCATTCTGAAACAGGTTCAGCTTAACCAGCAGAGCCAGACGCACAAACCACAACTGCAATGAGAAGAACAAACCAGTTTATTTTGGAACAAATGCAACTTGAAATAGCTGGTAGGGCTGTAACTACTGACTGAATTAGTAATCAAGTAATCTTCTGAAAATTTTGACAATAGAGTGATTCCATTTTTTAAAAAGGGGCAAAAAATAAAAATTGATCTAACTGAATGATAAGAGTTTCGATTCAAAAGTTATCATAGACCACTTTCATGATATTTGTTGTTGAGAGAGGGCTTTACACAAACATGAAATGTTGATGCTATATTATGATTAATACCATCTTTATTAAAAAAAAATAAAACAGTTTTACATTGTATTTCAGCTGTTATTGTTTTCAAAAATTTACATCAAAAATTGTTACAAATGCATATACAGCATGTTGGAATGTAATGAAGTAAAAAAATAAATAAATAAATAACAGGGACAACTTAGCATTTTACAGATCAGTAATAAGTGCGTTATATTATTGTAACATGTTAACAAGCTGCACTACCCTAAAACTTACATGCTAACTTTTTAGTTGTTAATAATAAGTTTGTAATTATAGCAACATTTAACAAGTAGGTCATAAAATGGTTAAGTAATGGCAACAAGTTGTACATAAATGACATTAATTTTCTAACTGCTAAAACAAGGTATAACAGTAAAAGTTTGACTTTTTTACATTTATAAGGTGTCCAGCTCTTTCAGCATAATATCTGCTTAATCAACATAGAGTTTTATAGTATTAGGGTCATTACCATAAAAACAATGCAGTAGTTTTGCTAAAATTACAAGTTATTACTGCTATAAAACACTCATGCACTTGTTTCTACTTTGTTTCTTACTTATTAGTCTGTAAATGATCAGGTGCAGTATGATGTACAAACATAGTTAAAGACTATAATTACAGTTACAGTAAATTGTGTTGGAGCTGTAAAATACTTTTTCCATCTTGTTCCTCAGTTACTGCACCACATTTTACAACCAACCTCTTACTACTACAATGACTAACTTATTATTTACTAATTTAAAAACCACCATGTATAATATTACCATGTAATTATCCACTTATTACTGATCTGTAACTATTACTAGAGATTAATTGAGAAGGCAAATTTTATTAATATTTTCTTGCATGTTTTTTAATGTTGTTTTTAAATCTTTTTAATGGTGACAGTTCTACTATGGGCCTCATTCACCAACCGTTCTTAAGAAGAAATTTCTTAAAATCTGCTTTGAAGATTCTGACTTTTACCAATGTTTTCTTATTTGGGTTTTGTTCTTAGGTAAGAACAGGATCTACGCACACTCAAAAGCACAAAGGTGTGAACAATTCTCCGATTTAAGAACACTTCTTGAATCTGATGTAGACTTTTTTCTTAGGATCTTTCTCAAAAACAAATTTAAGAAAAACTTACAAAGATATTGGAGAATGAGGCCCAACGATGCTTGGCAGGCATTCTGTACATACCCCTGTTCCAGCAGGCATTTTTCTAAACATTTGGTGAATTCTGTCGTTCCAGCATTTTTCAAGTCCTTAAACATCCCACAACCACAAGAGCACCATATTATGGATAAATGGTGAATCAAAGTGAGAATCATCTAAGGACCTAATCTAACTCTTCAGCCTAATGTGGTTTATATAGCCTGTAGGGCTAAAACTTTTATAATGCAAGTCAGTAGTTTTCCATTAACAAAGGGAGAGTGAGTAGAGTGTAATGTATGCACGCGTGCCACTGGAGGTTGAGACATCAGAGAGATGAAGTGCTTTGATATGGCCGACATGGCAGCCAATGGGAGATGGGTACGTTTGTGTGGACAGAGTGGGCGTAGGGCCAGAGAGCCGAGCTTCAGCGCTACTTCAAACACTCTGCACATTACACCGGCACTGAAACAGCATACTACACAGACCTTTAACTAAGGTGCCAACATATTTTCCACATGGGCAAAACAGCACTTCAGAGAGAATACCAATATGCTTATTCTGAATAATAGGCTACATAAATAACAACTATCGGGATGCGGTACAAGTTTTAAATCCCCATGTGGAAGATCTAACTATAACTATGTTATACTGCATACTTTATATTAAAAGAAAAATAAGTTTCTGAAATAAATCATAAGAACACTGCCACAGTGCATAATTTTAGCTTCGTTTCTGGTAAAAATTCACAACAATTTAGTTTCCAAGTAAATTAGTTTCACAGTCCATCCAAAGTTTGGGAACATCTAGCATTTCAAATCAATTTTACTACAAATGAGCATTTTCTCTTTGTCATTTTGCTATATCCTAACATATTAAAGATTAAACAGGTATAAGGAAAACACCATCACATATAAATACTGGTGGCAATGTACTGTACTGTGCAAAAATCAGAGACCCTTCAATAATTTAATTTACAGTCAAAACAAAGTATATGAAAAATGTCAGTACTTAGTGTGTCCTTATTACAGCTTCTATTCTTATCAGGAGACTTGCTTTCAGCTGTTCAAAGAAATCTGCAGGGATATTTTACACACATCCAAAGTTCAGTCTTAGAAGTTGGTTGAATTTTCTGCTTCTCACAATCCCAAACACATTCAGTGATGCTGAGGTCTAGACTCAGGGGTTACCAGTCTATTGTTCTAAGAACACCAGCTGCTTCTTTGTTTGATTTACAAATTGTCTTCTTGTTATCCATTTTCTTTTCTCAGTAGTGGCTTCTTGACAGCTACACATCCTTTCACACTGCACTGGTTTCTTGGCAGGTAAAATTATCTTAAATCTAGTCGATATATATAACATTTCTCATTCTGAGACTGTTGTAAGTTTATTATAAAAGTATTCAACTTATTTCTAGACATTTTGTAAGGCAGTCATTGAGTTTTCTTAGAGTGGAAGGATGGGCAGAAACACGTGTGGATTTCTTTCAGATCTGAAGGCAGAGTGGAGCTTGATTTTCTCCACTCTCTCAAAGATGAAAGCTATAAGTATTGTTTATTTGATGGGGACAGTTTTGGTGGCCTACCAGGTTCTGCACTGTTGTTAGCTGTTTTCCCTTTGCCTTTTAATAATTCCAACTTATTTTTCTTTGACTTTCTCCTTTCTTATGCAAGTGAATGATCTCATATCTAATCTCCTCAGAAATATTTCCAGAAAAATGAATAACTTGCACTTCACGGTTGTTTTGACTGGAAATCAAATAAATGGTTTTTGCTCAGTACTGTATGACTGTACTACCTTAATCACACCCCACTCATTTTATCCACTTGTTGTGATGTCAGCACTTATCAGCACTCAAACCTTTTAGGTTTTTAAACCATCTTTGGGCCAAAAAAGTTTCAATATGAGCTTTTAATAGCAAGGAAATAAAAATAGAAATTATTAGAAATATTCCCGAAAAGTATTAGAAAACAGCTGTTTGGTGCTAACAAAACCGCTACAGGCATATTTTACCTCATGTAATTGAAAAGAAACTGCATAAAAGAAAAAATATAAAGTTTAAAAGAAAGCAATGTGTCCCCAAACCTTTGACAGATGGTGTTCATAAACCTCAGCTGTGCTTAATGTTGATAAAACCTCTAGTTTTAGTGCCAAGTAGTTCCCTCAAGCTATGGCTCGAGCCAGCACTGTAATTCACTATTCAACACGGTCTTCTTGTCTGGTCATAGCATGTGGTCAGCAGTCTGGCCAATGTCCTGAGACTACATAACCCAGGCGGCTGTGGTGCTCTGCTCACCTGCAGGGAGTCTGTGGTGTGGCTGGTGGGTTGGCCGCTCTTGCCGTAGCCCTGGCCGTGAGCGGTCAGCAGTCTGCCCGTCAGGTCCACCGCTGCCCTCCAGTTCTTGGTGCTCTTGTTGGTGCGAGAGACAAGGTGAGAGAGAAATGAACCCATTAAGCCAACAGCTGCTCACACAGGAGGAGAGGATGTATGCATGTGTGTGAGTGTGTGTGAGTGTGTGCCAGTGTGTGTGAGTACAGCACTGTCCCCCTCATCCGTAATGATGACAAGGTCACAGTGGCCATCCTCTTTATACCAGAATGTTATTCATTACAGCTACACCTTTAGTTAAGGGCCTAAGGAGTTATAGCACAAGGATAAAACAATTTCAGGAATACTACTGGCACCTGTGAGCACAGCCTCCCAGCAGTGCAAACCAGGGGGTGATGTTACGGACATCGCTGCGATTTAGGGCTGAACATTATTGGGGAAAATGTCATGTTGCGATATTTTAGCCTTTTTGCAATACAAAACAAGCAAAAAAAAAAGGAGTGGAACTGTTTGAAAATAAAGGAAATGATTACTCTAACAGTGGAAAGGGGGAATTAAGACAGTGCTTAAATTTTCTTTAAGGCTGAAGTTTGTCCCTACTAGAAACTAGAAACCAAAAGGTATTTTAACATGTTTTGCTCAATAAAAGTTAAAAAAATTAATTAGGGAACATCAAGAAGTTATTCAATGATCAATAATATAATTATCTATTTACAGTAATTTCTTGACAAATCATGTGCATCAAGATTTTATCCCAACTCTTCAAATGTGAGGCCTTCTGAATATTAATTTAAACCTCATTCTCAGTGTCTTTCTCAGTCATTAAAGGATGAACTACAGCTCTGTTCAACATTCTGGACATTTTTCATTTTTTCCAATAATATCTGTCTGCAGAGCCGCAAAGCCACAGTTTCATGCTAGCAGTTTCACTTTAGCAGGTTCAAGCCAGTGGCATTTAGGCATGTGCCGACACTTGTTTTGGTTTTTCTTAGCGAGTGTTAGGCTAATCGACTTTTCGGTGGTTTTATGCGGGTTTCCAATAAATTTGTGATAGATTTGCACAGGGCTAACATTATATTTTAAACTTTAGGCTAAAACAAACTTTGGTTTGAGCACATATTGAGATTCACAGGGTAAATATTACACAAACTACAGCTTATGTGGCCTGGGTAAACTCATGGGCTATGTAGACATATAGCTCAGTTAACGTACCCTTAATACAGGGGCTTTATGTGTACATTTACATTACACATGCTGGAATAAAACATTACCTTAAGCAGGCTTAATTTAAGCATAATATTAAGATTTAGGCTAAAACAAACTTTAGCTTTTTCATGTATCCCTGCTGAAAAAAAACATAGAATACATTAAATATTTCTTTTGGTTTCTGATGGTTTTGTGAAATGTTTTAGCTTATGGTTTAACTGGTTACCAATGGTTAATTTGTATATTGGCAATGGAATCCCTTTCTGAATGGTAATATGCATGGCGACACATACAACCAGCACAAACAGTGGCTGTTTACATCAGAGATGTTATAAATGAGGAGACCGGCCACTGGTTGAAATACGAATGGTAACGCTCTTAATGTTCAACTTTCCTATAAGGACTTTGTTTACTTGGCACAATCTGTGACTAGTTAGAGACTCATTTGCATATTATGTTTGTCACAATAATGATCAAAGAACAATACACTGTGCAGCTCTACTCTAAGTAAAAAAAATCCTCCCTCTCTCAGCATTTCCATTGCATTTCCAGCTTCCCAGACCACTCTTTGCAGTCCAAACCTTCTCTCTCTCAAGCTGCATATACTCAACTCTCTACCTCTCTTTACTCATTCTCTCCTTTGACATGCCTCTCTCTCTCTCTGTCCCTCCGAGTGCTGCTCAGTCTCTCTCTGGACTCCCTCCTCTAACGTGTGTCTCCCAGGTTTGCTCTCTGCAGCCCTGGTGCCTCTAAATCTTCATTAGAGTGGGAAATGAAGCTGAAAACGACTGGCAGGGAAATGGGCAAAAGCAGCTGCAGTCACTGAGACAGAACATAAAAAAGTCAATGCAGGTGGAAATAGGGGTCCATTATGATGTACTGCAAATTTGGGGTTTGCAAGGTACCTGCAAAACAGATAAAGTATTTGTTGTATGCTTTGCCTTCTACATGCTACCAAAATGCAATGTGAACATACCAAAAACAATGGACAGACAAACTTACCAAACTGCAGCTACTATGGTCACTAACAACATTTATTATTCACAGTCATACTGATATCTGTTCAAGTAGTGGTCTACAAGTGTATAATACTAAGTAGATTAAATAAGACTAAACAAAACGTAATAAAAAGATGCAAAGTTTAGGGTTGTACTGATATGGGAACTGTCAAATGCTGCCAATATCTGTTAATTTTCTTGTACATATCAGCTGATGCTGAAATACAAATATTTCTAAATGTAATATTCAAGATCCACCTGGATTAGCATCACAGACAAATGAAATATTAATTCTACAGAGTTAAAAGCACAGTAAGATATTTTAGTAGACTAGCCCAGCGTGACCTAAACATTTTGCTCTTCTAGAGTACAATAAATCAATCAATCAATCAATCAATCAATAAAATATCCCTTTTGAAATATGAGCTAAATCTAAACATCTGTCTGACGCCAATGTTACTTTTAGAAGCAACTGTCTATTATTCTGATATCACTGTGCATTCCTAGATGCATGCAAACTCTAATAAGAGTTTGACTAAGCATCAGACTAGGTCTGTCACTATTGATTATATTAGTAATCGATTGGGTAAATGATTCACTATTTTTATGATCAATCAAGTAAGTTTGATGATTGTAATTTTTTCTTATTTAAAAAAGGGCCAAACAATAAAAATAGACAAAACATAACATAATAGCAAAAAGCCTCTGAATGATTCCAAAATATATTACTATAAACAGATTAGATTATAATAATACAAAATTATAAAATCAATGAGGCAAAAATGCTTAAAATGAGTGCATCCATCAGGTAATGTTCTTACTGTACAAAAGAGCAGTAGGAGAAATTTAAATTTTAACAGTATCTTGCATTATCATCATGCAAATTTACAGAAATTGAGTTTAATCAGCCTAAAGAATGATAGCCCTAAATCAGACAGAAAGAAAGAGTCGAAAAAGCAAGCCAGCTGGCTTTAAAGTAAGAGCAATCACTGAAAGGAGTCAAGAAAAAAAAATGGGAAAAAATGAAGCCCACGGAGAGGAAAAAATAAGTGAGCAGGCTCTGTAACTCAAAAGAAAAGAAGAGAGTGGAGAAGAATCATTTGGGGATTCCATACACAGAGAAGACAGCATCCCAAAAGAGAGAGAAACAGAGGACGACACTAGAGAACTTCCCATCAGGAAGATGTTAAAGAAGAGAGAAGCAAACAGAAACCAGAGCAAAGCAGAGCTGCATTTCACTGCATTTTGAGTTCTGCTCACTGTCTGCCCTCTCTCTCTCTCTCTCTCTCTCTCTCTCTCTCTCTCTCTCTCTCTCTCTGGTGGAGATGAATGGCAGGTGCTCTGGGTTTAGCTGTGTGTAATTGAAACACTCTTCACACGTGTATGCTGTACGAGCCTCTCTAGCTCCTCTACACTGACCGTGCTGGATTGGTCTTATTATCTTGGGCTCTTCACAGGAAGAGCTTTTGGATTGCCACAGCAGCTCATGCAAAGCACCTGACCACTTAGCCTGGGGTTGGGCAATACAGAAAAAATGTAATACTTGAAGATAATTGTTACAAAATTATGGAAGAATATCAGCAAAAAAATTCTAATGAATTTTTTTTTATTTAAATTTCCCACTCATATATGAAATTTTGGGCTAAAATTGTACTATTTTAATTTGCCATTTGCTATACTAGCATTGACATGTCATTTACACAGAAATTTAGACACTTTATAACTAGCTTTATTTAAATTAAAATGTATTTCCCTAACTGCGAATTCATGCGATTATGAAATAATGGTGTCAAAATTACAATTAAAATGTAATCAATCTTATGTTATCAAACTGGTTGATTAAAAACAAGGCTGAACATTTTTTATCAACATCTTTGCATCTAATTCACCAGCTATTTTTCTAATTTTCAGTTCCACCTTCAGTTCCACCGATATCACCTCACTTGCTAATACACTATGTGAATTGTGGAGGGCTGCAGAATTAAGCTAGCTAAATGCCATTGTTAATGCTACTTACACTACATTCCCAAAAAAGGACCTACTCTACTGTTTTTACCAGCTGGCTAACATGAACTAGTTCACTATGTCACACATGCATCAGTGATTTTTGTAATATTCATTTTTAAAAAGTAAATCGGAACATTAGAGAACCCTTACTGATATCGGACGAAATATGACACAGTACGGACAACTCAGCCACTATGACTAGGTGGCTGTGTGATTTACATTTGTCTATGCGCACCAGTACAATTACAACTAAATAGTTTCATATTTTTGGTGACAGACAAGGTGGAACACATCAATATATCCACATCTGATGCGCACTATGTACAAGAAGACAGCCCTCGATGCTGGATTAATCTCTATATGTAGCCTATGGTCTACAAACAAGGACAATAGTTAGACCCAATTATTAAATCAGAAAAATCTGCCACATGTTTGATTAATGATTGATCGTGGGTCATGTATAACATGGTAATCATCATAAGTGGATATATCACTGTTTCTACAATGGCGTTTTAGGGCCACTGTTAAAGAAATAGAAGTTGTAGAAGTAGAAAAAGTAGACTTTGAGAATAAAGTCGTAATATTTTGAGAAAAGTCGTACGGTACATTTTGAGAAAAAAGTCGTGATAGTTTGAGGAAAAAAAGTCAGGATATTTTGAGAAAAAAAGTCGTAATATTTCGAGAAAAAAAACGTACTATTTCGAGAAAAAAGTTGTAGAATTAAAGTGCCATTAATACCAGGAAATATCGCAATATTGTGGCCAAAGCCTTCGCGAAGGGAAGGCAGCAACTCCTCCTGTTAAAATGAGGGGCGTTGAGGAGTTGGTGGAGTTATACTTTCATATCGATTTCACCCATAAAGAAATACTC